CAATGAAAGTGATGAAAGTGGATGATCATTTAGTGATAATGACAATGGGAGTATAAAATAATGTATAGGAGAAGGCAGTGTAAACCCACTTCTATATTCTCCACAAAAACATGGATAGGCATGTTTGACTGATTGTCAATATAGTATTAGATGATGGGCTCCTCAGATCAAACGACACACAATGTAGCATTGAGAAAAGCTGATGATTTTTGGAGTATGGCTATAATGTGCTTATGACACAGCCTTATTAAAGCCTTCCAGGTTAGACGCTACAAAGACAGGATTATAGAAGAAATATTGAATCTAAGAAACAGGAACATGAGGAAGTTCAACACAGTGAAAGATTAAGTGAACCAATCACAGATAGAGCTTTTGTATGTCAGCAAATGAAAATGGAGCAGAAATGTACACTTTCAGTTTAAGTAGAAAATATTTATTGCTCAGAGCATGAAAACTGAGAAAGAATCTTGATTTCATAGTTGTAAAGATATTGAAGAAACAGTATTTGGGTATAATGCCAAATACCAAAGTATTTGGGTATAATTTGATTAAGTAATATCAATTACATTTCTCTGGAGAATTATAATTCATGAGGAATATAAGGAAGATATCAAAGTTGTAGGTGGTTTTTGCATTTTAAGATGAACCATCAATAGAGTAACTTGCAATCAAGAAACATGACATAGCCAGCACTTGGTAGACCACCCATGAAGGCACTGTAAACACTATTCAGATGCCCTAACCTAATGGGTCCATGCCTACAAAAACGAATAGTGACAGAAACTATATTCCTTCTGGCACTCTATGGAAGTGAAAATTTGAAGAGGCTTTGGAGCTTTGGTGTTGGAGAAGACTCCAGAGAATACCATGGAAAGCCAAAGGGAAAATCCCAAACAAAACAATCCAAAGCTCTCACCCACGGCACAAATAACCAGGCTCAAATTATCTTACTTCAGATGCATTATGCAAAAATCTAGCTCTCTAGAATAGTCTATAATGCTGGAAAAGGTGCATGAAGAAGGAAAGAGAAGAAAATAAGTAACAGCAAGATGAGAAAATTCAATTGCAACAGCAGTAAACTGAAAGCCCATTTTCAAGACAGATCATCCTGGGAGAAAAGCTGACATTCATTTGATGGCACCTAATCAATCAATTTCTTTTAAATTGCTGTGTGGATGTTAAAGCTTTTTGTGACTAAGAATTTCTGCTTCTGTTTGTTACATGGCTTCATGTGTAATATAAATATTTGCACATCCTCATATCAGCAGAAAATACTACAGTGAAAAATATAAAATACAGGAGTATTAATTATTTTATCACTGATATGCATTTCATTACAGCAATACAGAAATTGAGTTTTCTGGAATTCCCAACCTTCATTTTAAATAAAATACAAATGTTTATGCCTTTAAGTATGGTTTGAAATTGAAGTCTCATACATTAAAATGAATGAAAGCGTCATTCTAAGTAATCAGAAATAGCAATTTTAAGACCTCACACAATTGATTTATTTGGTCAGTATTTAAGTTAAGAAGCAGAACAAACTGTGCAAAGCAAATGTGTACAGTTCTTCAGAAACCAGCCTTTTTTCCTGAAGAATTTAAATTATAACTTTAGTAAATGTCTATAGTGATTCTCAGTTATCCAGATCATGGTTTTCCCAAAAGTGCTCTTTTGTTCTCCAGTTGCCTCTTCAAAAAGTATCTTTAGTATCACTTTAATATATAGTACAGTGAGTGACCAAAATCTGGTATATGCTGACACTCCTCCAAAAATACTGAGGATGCTTTGTTCTATTTGTAAGTGAATATTGGTAATTGTGCGTTATGACAGACTCAGAGGTGGTATTCAGCAGGTTCTGACCAGTTCTGGAGAACCGATAGAGGAAATTTTGAATAGTTTGGAGAACTGGAAAATACCACCTCTGACTGGAGATTTTACAGTATCCTTCCCCTGCTATGCCCACCAAGCCACCCTAACCAAACTGGTAATAAAAAAATTGAATCCTACCACTGGGCAGAGTCCTCCAGATTTGATGGTATGAAGGGATGTTAGAGCATACAAAAGATTCATGTTTAGCACCTGCCTAGATCTTCTTTCCCTGGATTCATATAGTTGCCCACCACCATATTTCTGGTAAGGTACATATTTGTTTAAGGAGCTAAAGTCTGGCTCTCTCAGACCAGCTATTCTACTGTATATCTCAAAGCAGCATTTTATATTAGAATCTCAGGTGGTATACTGCTGTTGTACATGAATATCATTGTGCATCATTTTTACATATGCCTTGTTTAAAACGTTTTCAAACATCAGTTCAAGCTGATACTTGAACTATATTAGACTTATATGGCAGAATGTTAGAAAGGAAGCAATATTAATGGGAATTATCTGAATTTTATGTTTAATTCTAGATATATATTTTGTGGATGTTTTATTGTTGCTTTTAAAAAAAAATAGAATTGTAAACTGCAGAGTTACGTGGTTTTTACTTGGCTATAGAAACTGAATAAATAATCAGAGAAAATCATGTCCAATATGTTTTGTTTTTGCTTTTTGTATGGTATGAACTCAGTTTTTGTTTTTTGTTTATAAATCATGGCTTAAAGCTTAGTGCAGGGGTCAACAACCTTAAACACTCAAAGAGCCATTGGAACTCATTTTGCACAGAAAACACCAGGAGCCACAAAACCCTTCCTGTGCCTGTCTATTTCCTGAGCAGCCACAAAACTAGCTTATGTAGTTGAATAAAAACGGTGTATTTTCTTCTGAAACTTTTATTTTCTTGGATTTACCCATGGTTGGCCTATCGGGAGTCAAAAAGCTCAATAAATTGTGTGCTGGCAGGTGTCACACACACTGGTGGTTGTGACACATATTTTGAGCGACAGGGTGCCGCAGCAGAGGGATGAAAGAGCCACATGTGGCTTGCTCACCCCTGGCTAAGTGTAATATATGTATTCCAATACATGAGCATACAACAGTTTAACTTATGCATGCCACTATCTATAATTTTTACTTCTCAAATTTTATTTTTTTTACTGAGGGACACAGTTACGTAGAGGACATAGGCAACATGGAAAACTACAAAATGCTAAGAGAATAACTTTAATTGCCAGAGATAGAAACTGGAAAATCATTGATTTCCACCTGGCTTGCTACTAAACCATTTTCTTTCAAAGAGCAATAGAGTGCTCATGCATGTCTAGTTTATAAATGAAGAATAACATCCAGGAGATTGTAGTAGAAGGAGAAAAGGGGTCTCAAGACCAGGATATTGATGTTCATCTCAATGTTTTCCCATCAAACTCTATGTTAGTTTAGGCTGGTCAATTATCCAGTTTACGTATCTTTTAAGCCAGGGGTGTCAGACTTATGTCATCATGGCAGTGTCACATGACATATTGGGACTTTTTTCCCCTTCGCTAAACCGAGTATGGGTGTGGCCAGCGTGTGACACATCTAGTCCGTGGGCCAGGAGTTTGACAGCCCCGTTCTAAACCAAGGTTCTTTTTCACCATAGCTCTTTAAATAAAATACAATTAGTCATGTTTGGATTAGCCGTTATTTATAGTTGCTGGATTAATACCCAATATTAAGCCATCATATGGGGGATTGTTTGTGGCTTCCCACAGAATATTCAGCCAAAGCAACTTTATTATGGTTAGCTTGGCATGTAAATTCAGTCTGAATTGTGAAGCTAGATGTTTGCCTTAATGGAATGACATGTTGCTTACTACTGAGTAAAATATTAATAGGATTACCTTGGCTATAACTGCACCACAATTTAACTTGGAGACAATTTACCCATGCCCATTGCTAGCATAAATCTCTAAGTTTGGTGATATTTTAGAGGCATATATTGGCTTAATTACAATTCTCATTTTAAAAAACAACAATCCTAATTATGTTTTACAGAAAAAAAGTTTCAGAAGATTCAGTAGAACTTTTTTTAATCGAAGAGTTGATAATCATGTTGTACCATTTTTACAGCAATCCATATTCCGAGATGCACCTCACTGATTTAACTTTAGAATAGAATAGAGGTGGAAGGGACCTTGGAGGTCTTCTAGTCCAGCCCACTACACAAGCAGGAGAACCTATACTATTTCAGGGAAGTGGTTGTCTAGTTTCTTCTTAAAAATCTCCAGTTTGGAGCACCCACGATTTCTGAAGGCAAGCTATTCCACTGGTTAATTGACCTCACTGTTGGGAAGTTTCTCCTTAATTCCTTAATTCTCTCTTTGATTAGTTTCCAACCATGGTTTCTTGTCCTGCCCTCTGGGTGCTTTGGAGAATAATTTAACCCCCTTCTTCTTTGCAGCAGCCCTTCAAATACTGGAATACTGCCATCATGCCACCCCTAATTATTTTGACACATTCCTTTATGGTTTCATTTTTTTAAGGAAACCCTGGTCGGTAGACAATGGCATATTTTGTTTTTTTTGTTTATTTATTTATGTGTGTCAATTGCTTACAAGATAATAGGTATAAGTAAAAACATAGTTATGAATACATGGATACATATAAGAAAAATAAAAAAATATAAAGCAATAGGACAGGGACGGTAGGCGCGTTGGTGTGCTTATGCACGCCCCCCTACAGACCTCTTAGAAAAGGGGTGAGGTCAATAGTAGACAGTCTAAGGTTAAAGTTTTTGGGGTTTGAGGAATCTTTCAAATGAAGCTCAAGATACATTTTGGCGGAACCAGGCGTTTTTTTTCCAGTAAATCTTTAATATGCCCGTACTTTTATCCACAAATCAATTTATAGGTTTTCCCCACATTTCATGTCTGTCTATTTAGCGGAGGGGGTGGGGGTGGGGGAGAGAAAGATGGGCGGAGTATCTGGCTCTACCACATTCAAGATGACCGGAGCGCACAGAAACCGACTCGACGATCGCCGTATTTGGGAGGTCTATGACTTTTCGGAGGACATATCGCGAGATTTCCAACCGCAGCTCCCGCCCTACCGCGCGCCGCTGGTATTCTGAAGCTCGCGCCCCGGCGCTTCTGAGTCGGTTACTGGGCGGTAATGGCGCCGAGCTCTTAAAACAGCTTGGGAGGGGGGGGGGGAGGAGGAGGGGGCTCCACTTCATCGCAGCTCTCAATCCCGAAGGTTTGAGGGGATGAGCCGACAACCTCAGTCGCCGCCAGGAAGGAGGAGGAAGGAACGGAAGCGGCGATAGAATAGGTGAGGCGGCTCTCCAATTGTGGGGAGCCCTCCAGCTAAAACCCAATTGGGGACTTATGGGGAAAGCGAGAGAAACTTGACAGGGTTTCCGGCTTTCGGTTCCTGGGATTCAGAAGGGGGTGAAGCGCTGGGAGGCTGTTTTCTACTGACGAGCATGTTTCGGGAGTTTGTTGCCTGCTGTTCGTTCTTTCGCCGACCCCTTTTCCGCGCTCCATTCCGCTGCAGTTCGGCCTGGATTGTCACAGCTTCTTCCTGATTTAAAGGGAGGAAGGTCGGTTATGATTTAGATCCCCGAATAAGACAAATGCCGCCTCCGCCTCTTGTTTCAGGTCGTTTATACTGCAGGAATCCAGAAGGAGCTCAATTTATTTGACTGCTAGAATTCCGAGTTTTATATTGTATGAGATATAAAGAGATGAAAAAATGAGTTATTTTGAAGGGAGTGGTTCTGAGAATGTTATTATTAACAGGAGCTAGCTTGAAATGCAGATACTGAATATACTTATTTTCGTGAGTTCCCTTAAGTACTAGTGGCACAAACTCATATGCAAAAGTGGCCAGGTAAGGTTTTCTCTCCAAGGAATTTACTTTTCAGCCCTATTGCATTTTAGTCTGTTTCAGCAAAAGAGACATATATTACAGGCTCCTGTAATAAGTCGAGGACTACCTGTAGTCCTTGACTTATGAGCACAATTGAACCCAAAATTTCTGTTGCTAAGTGAGACAGTTGAGTTTTGCCTCATTTTCTGACCTGCCTTGCCACAAGTTCTTAAGTGAACCACTTCAGTTAAGTTAGTAACATAGTTTTTAAGTGAATCTGGCTTCCCAATTGGCTTTGCATGTTAGAAGGTTGCCAAAGGTAGTCACATAACCCCGGGATACTGCAACCGTCATAAATATGAGTCGGTTGCCAAGTCTCAGAATTTTGGTCAGGTGACTGGGAATGCTGCAAAAGTGGTAAGTGTGAAAATGGTATAAGTCACTGTTTTCAGTGCTGTTGTAACTTTGAATGGTTACTAAATGAACTGTTGTAAATCGAGGACTACCTATAGTCCTATCTCTTTCAGTCTCCAAAATGCTACAAAGAAAGTACAACTGAAGTGAATTCTTAAATTCTTGAAAAATGGCATGGGCTTTTCTTCTCTATATTTCTGTGAACACATTAACGCAGTAAGAGTCATTTTGCCCACTGATACAGGTAATTCAATATGGGTAATAATAACTTACAACAATTGGTAAGTTAGTGACTGTTTGAAGTTACAACAGCACTGGAAAAATGACATATGACCATTTTTCAGACTTATGACTGTTACAGCATCCCTGTCATCATGTGATCAAAATTCAGATACTTGGCAACTGACATGTATGTATGATGGTTGCTGTGTTCCGAGTCATATCAATTTTGCAACCTTCTGACATGCAAAGTCAATGGGGAAGCCAGATTCACTTAACAGCCGTGTTACTAACTTAACAACTGCAGTGATTCTGTTAACAACCAAGGCAAGAAAGATTTGTAAAATGGGGCAAAGCTCACTTAACAAATGTTTTGTTTAGCAACAGAAATTTTGGGTTCAGTTGTGGTCATAAGTCGAGGACTATCTGTACTCAGCTCATAGGAAAAAATATGGGAAGTGTACTCACAGAAATAAGGTAGGATGTTTCCCCATGCCTCTTAGGACAGGCAGCCCTGTTGGGAGATAGCAGGTGACATCTGTTTTTGCATGCTATGTTTGAACATGAGGATTATTTGTAATTGTTTTGCTTAATAGCTGTTTGTAAACCTAGTTTCCATGTTTGTCTAATTCATACCACATTTTGGAGCAGTGAATTTGGTTCAATTTTCATGTACAAAAAAATCTATTTGTATCAATTGGCAAATGTCTTTCATTGAATGATTGTATCAAAAGCATTTGGAAATCAATATTATCTGTTGTATCAGGCTGCCAGCATATCTTTATTTCTCTCAGAAAATTCTGAATGTTTGGGGAGAAACTACTCCATATAGAATTGATGTTACAGAATATAATGAAGAATATTACCCAATGTTAATTTGCAGAAAACTGTAAATTAGCCAAACAAGAATAATTAATAAAATATATTTCCAAACATGTGGCTATGGCTCTGAGTTTGCTGACAATTAAAAGGTGTTTTATTCAGAGGATTTCGTGGTACAAATCCAAGCAAGAATCAGTTTCATCTCTAATTTGCAATATCAACAAGTTGATGGCATTGTAGGGCTGTCATAAGGCACTGTCAGTCATCATGTCTTCATTCTGCTGTAGTATCAATATAATGTTCGACATTACTATTAAATAATTTTAAAAGTTTTAAAAGGAACAATTAAGATTTTCATTTTTTAAAAAATTATGAACTCCTGGTTTTATGACTGGCTTCTCTTTAATGACTGAAAATATTTTTCAGTCAATCACTCCTTTTATTTCATATTAGTTTTGACTGGAATACTCCATTGTTTTTGATGATGGGAGTTAGTTGTATTGTTCAAATATCACCATAACATTTTGAGTTAAATTTCTGCTATTAAATTAATCTGGGATTTCTTTGAAAGTGAAAAATCACTTCCAAAAAAATTTTGGTCAGTGCCAAGGAAATATTGCATTATTCACTAGACTTAGATTTAGAATAACTTTATTGCCACTTTGAATGTACACTAATCTGCATACATTAAAATAAAATTTCATTGTATACAACTCTCAGGGTCACTAATCTTCATTATCTAATTTTTCTCCCTGTTTAGCAGTTGGAGAACATAGTAGGGATGATCTCTGGACAGTGATCTGGATTCCAGAGCTGGGAAAATCTGTAATGTTTTTATATAGCATTTTTTTAAAAATAAGATCATGGATCTACGCAGTACAGTAGTTTGCCTTATGTCTGAAATATTATTATCTGGGTATTCATACAAAACATTTTGGACACCTGCAAATTGTGTGTGTAATTGGTGTCACTGGTCATATGTGTGGCAAACCAGGAGAACATACAGTATTCCCCACTTAGCCATTTTTTTGGTTATGCATGATATGAACACAGCCTTTATTGACTATTCCTTTGATGTGATACATGCTATCAGCTACTGGTAGTAGTGCTTCTTTGGATTCTGTGAAAGCAAAATAGGAGAAACTTTGGAGGAAAAGAATTAGTTTGACATCATCACTCAAGTTTTATATCAGGACTCAGAAGAGGGACAAAGTAAAATCAATGCATTTCAGTACTCCAGTATATTCTATGGCAGATCTCAAACTGACTTGTTTCAGAAAAATAAAACTTTAAAAGCATTATTAAGCAAGAAATACATCAAATAAATAAACCATACTTATTAGTCTCTTTCCAGATCTGTACTGAGCAATCTAACTGAACTTGCTGGAAAGATTGTATTTACTTGTATTGATATCCCTGGTAGCTTTCTTTTTTCATTGTCTCATTTTTTAAAAAATAAGCATTCCTTCTTTCATAAGCCAAAGCTAGATTTTCTGGACAATCTATATATTCTTTCCTGAAGTATTTCGGTCTGTTATTTTTATTTAGCATGGCTTCTCTACTTTGCAACCTGTGTTCACACACCTTATATATTTTTAAATTGATAAGATTTGAGCAATAGTACAGTGCTTGCAAACTCAAAAACATAGTTTGATAGTATGATGCTAGTAAAAATGAGATAAAATTGGACTTTGCTTGCAAGTAAGTCAATAATGTGCCAAAATTGACTGGTAAGATAGAAAGTGATGTTGCATATGGTAAATACATTGTGTGTGCAATTACTAGGCAAGTGAGTATTTTGACCATATCTTCATTTTTATGCATATTTTCTATCTCCAAGCTATATAAACTTGAATGCTTAGTGGATATAGGCAGATCAGGTGATGTGTATTTGTGTAATGAGGGATCAACCTATATCAAAGTGCATAATTATTAGGCAGCTTCCTTTCCTCGGGCAAAATGAGCCAAAAAAAGATTCAGCTGACTCCAAAAAGTCAAAAATTGTAAAAAGTGTTTCAGAGGGATGCAGCACTCTTGAAATTGCTAAGATATTGGAGTGTTTTCACAGAACCATAACATATTGTTGCAAATAGTCAACAGGGTCACAAGAACCGCATTGAGAAAAAAGACACGAATTAACTACAAGATTTGAGAAGGATAAAGCGTGAAGCTACCAGGAACCCACTATTCTCTAGTGTTGTTGTGTTCCAGAACTGCAGTCTACCTGGAGTGCTCAGAAGTACAAGCACAGAAGTATAAGGTGTTCAGTGCTCAGAGACATGGCCACGGTAAGGAAAGCTGAAACCCAACCATCACTGACCAAGACACATAAGTTGAAATAGCAAGACTGGGCCACAAAATATCTGAAGGCAGATTTTTCAAAAATTTTATGGAGCGATGAGATGAGAGTGACTCTTGACAGACCAGATGGATGGGCCTGTGGCTTGATCAATAAAGTGCACAAAGCCTCACTTCAACTCAGATGACAGCAAGGTGGAGGTGGGGTACTGGTATGGACTGGTATTTAAAGATGAACTAGTTGAACTTTTTGGGTTGAAGATGGACTCAAAATCAATCCCCAAACCTACTACCAGTTTTTAGAAGGCACTTTCTTCAAGCAATGGTACAGGAAGACTGCATCTTTCAAGACCATGATTTTTATGCAGGACTTGATCGCATGCATCGAAGTGCTCCACTGCATAACTAGCCAGTAAAGGCCTTAAAGACGAGAAAAAAAATGACACCATTCCCTTCCTCATCTGACCTAAACCCTATTGAGAAATTGTGGGCTCTTCTTAAATGGGAGATTTATAGTGAAGGAAAACAGTACACCTCTCTGGACAATGTCTGGGAGGCTGTGGTTGCTGCTGTACAAAAAGTTGATCATCAACAGATCAAGAAACTTGACAAGACTCCATGAAAGGAAGGCTTATGACTGTTATTGAAAAGAAGAGTGACAATAGTGCTCATTGATTATTTTATTTTGAAATGTCAGAAATGTTTATTTGTAAATTTTGAGTTTATTCTCACTTTAACAGATGAAATTAAATGAGTAAGTTGGGAAATTTTTCATTTTTATTTTGTTGCATAATAATTCTGCACACTAATAGTTGTCCAATAATTGTGCATAGATATTCCCCTAAGAAAACCAAAACCTCACTTTTACTTTCTTAAATATCCAGCTTTGGAGTTTATTAACATTTTGGATTGACTGAGAGCACTGTAGTTGTTCAATAATAAAGTTAAACCTCAAAAATACAACTTCCCTAATAATTGTGTATGTGAGATAGCTAGGCATTCGACAGCCTATACACTTATCGACCAATGAAAATGAAAATTAAATGAACATTGTATTTCTTAAATCTGTATCTGTTTATGACTTACAACAGCTCATTTAGTGACCATTTAAAGTTACAATGTCACTGAAAAAAGTGACTTATGACCATTTTTCACCCTAACGACCATTGCAGCATCTCCATGGTCACATGATTAAAATTCAAATGCTTGGCAACTGACTCATATTTATGACGGTTGCAGTGTTCCAGGATCATATGATCCCATTTTGCAACCATCTGACAAGCAAAATCAGTGGGGAGGGCAGATTCACTTACCCCTATTACTAACTTAACAACTGCAGTGATTCACTTAACAACTGTGGTAAGAAAAGTCATAAAATGGGGCAAAACTCGTTTAACAAATGTTTCCCTTAGCAATAGAAATTCTAGGCTCAGTTGTGGTCGTAATTTGAGGACTGCCTGTATACTGTGAAGGCAGGTTGGTTTCCTAAAATCTAATCTAACATTTCTGTCTTATTAATATAGATAAGGAAGTGAAGATTTGGGTTTGATTAAGGATGAAAGGACTAATATGTCCGAAAGCATAAATTGGTATGGAATATTGAAAAAAAAAGTTAGATAAGCTGAATAGATGGGTTTGAACAAGATTAGAGAATACATAAAATATCTAGATTATTTAGAGACCTAAGGATGAATGACATGGTGATAGTTAGTGAGGATCTGCTTAGGAAAAATGTCTGTTTTAAACTTAGCCTTATTCATATTACACATGGCAAAGGAATAATTCCAAAATTAATTTGATTGTTTATGATGAAAGATTAGAATATATGCAATTGTCCCTTAACAACTGCCCTGTTTAGCAACCATTTCTAAATAGTTCTGAAAAAGTAAATTTTGAACTGATCCTCACGCTTTGCAACCATTGCAGTGTCCCATGGTCACAAGATCAGCATTTGCATACTTTATAGCCAGCTTCCAACAAGCAGTCAATGGAGAATCCAGCTGTAAAATTGCAAGTTACGGTCATGTGATGTTTCACTTAACAACCCTATTGGTTAGTAATTGAGTTGCTGATTCCTCTTTGGATTGTTAAGCAAGATTGTAATTCCTGAAATATATAAGGGTGACAGTTTCTAAATGTGGGACAGATTATTATTTAGTAGCAGAGCTTTGCGGGGAAATGAAAGTGAAGAAAAGAAATGAAACGAAGACGAGTAGAATGAAAGTAGATGAACTGTAAGAATAATACAAGTCCAGTCTGAAAAATTATTGGAATGAACGAAAAGACATAAGAAGGCTTGGAATCTATATAGAACCAAGTAAAATGAATTGTGTTATGGAATATCACAGTAAGGGGCAAAATTATGGTAATGGAAAATATGAAAAAGTTATGTTTAGTGGAAAGAGGATATAACAAAGCTGTAAGTGAGAAAATGCAAATAGAAGAATACAGGTAGTTCTCAACTTATAACCACAACTGAGCCCAAAATTTATGTTGCTAAGTTAAACATTTGTTAAGTGAGCTTTGCCCCATTTTACAACTTTTCTTGCCCCATTTGTTTAAGTGAATCACTGCAGTGATTACATTAGTAACATGGTTGTTAAGTGAATCTTGCTTCCCCATTGACTTTGTTTCTCAGAAGGTTGCAAACAGTGATAACTTGACCCTGGGACACTGCAATTGTCATAAATGTGAATGCAGAAATAGAAAAATCTCTTGCCTCCTGCGACAGAGGTTATGTAAAGAATTTTATTGTTTTCAGGCAAAACTTAAAAAAATCTTCAGTGAGTGATACTCCAGATGACTTTATAAATATATCCATGAAATGTTTTGGTAACAGAATGAACTCTTCTGACATCCAGGATGCTTTTTTTTTTTAACTTTGCCATATATATTGCAAGCCTGGGATTCTGCTATCCAAATACTAGAAACAGTTTTTCTAGGCTTCACAAATCAGACCAGTTTAGTCAGAAGCTGCTATATGCTGAAATACAGTCCAGTTTAAAGCATGTTACTTTAGTTTACAATTTTGTTGAATATGCCCTTTGTTTTGAAGTCTGATTTGGAAGACATACTGGGCTGGGGGTTAGTAAAACAGTACAGCTTAAAAGGATGATTGCCACATTAACTGGAGGCTGTGCGTTCTGGCTTCACAGTAACTTATGAAAGAGTCAAATTCTATGTAGGCTCGGTCTGTTGGCAGTTCTACACTGCGAATCCCAGTATAGATTTTCCTTCCCTGTTTGAGTAAGCTCTCTGTCAGATTTCTCACCCATCAGTCATTTCTCTAAGATATGTCACTGTCCTCTCTCATCTGGATTGATTCCTCTGCTTTGTGTGCTTCTGCAGCGTAGAAAATTTGCCTTTCTTTGCCCTTGTTATGTTGTGCTAATTGTGCCTTCTTTGTAAATTCTGTAGCTCCTCCAATACATCTGTTGGAAGATGTGATTTCAGCTCTTGAAGTTTATGTTCCACGCTCTCTTTCAAAACATCAATTGTAAAATTAATCTGTCTTATTTCATTGAGAAGAGAGACCAGATTACCTTAAACAGTCCCATCTGTTTCTTAGAGCCCAGCTTTTCATACAATCAGTAATTGTAAAAGGCACAAAAGTCTGCTGAATGGCCACTCTGCAACTCTGCCCTAGTTTGTGGCTGATGGTCAGAGGTGGTATTCAGCAGGTTCTGACCAGTTCTGGAGAACCGGTAGCAAAATTTTTGAGTAGTTTGAACAACTGGCAAACACCATCTCTGACTGGCCCTGCCCCCATCTATTCTCTACCTCCTGAGTCCCAGCTGATGAGCTGGGTCTTCTTTTGTTGCCCTGCACAAGAATGGAGCTAGAAAGCAGGTTAGTGGGGTGACTGTTTAGTGACTGTTCAAAGTTACAATGGCTCTGAAAAAAGTGCTGTTAAAAGTGACTTATCCCACCCCTTATAAAAGCAATTTATTATATAAGAGGATAGTTTTTTTCTTCTGAAGTATATAATTTTGTATGTTATTATACTACTGTACTTACTAGTTTATAATATATATTAATGTATAAAATAGTTTTAAAATGCTTACTGTAACATTTTAAATATATAATAAAATTATTTTTAAAAGGTTGGTTAATACCAGGATTATTACAAGTGAGCCGTCACATAAGCAACATATTTTTGGATGCAGGGTAAACATTAAACAGTAAATATAATTTGGTTAGTGTGTAAAATTTTCACACAGAATAATTAATCTGCTGAATTTGACTTGATGTAAAATATTTTTCAGGTTCAGATTTAGCTTTCTGTGCTAATAAAGTTCAAAATAGTACTGATAACTTACAAGGTATGTGTATGTATTTTTGTTTGACATTTCTGTGAGCATTTATCTTTATATTGTAGGTGAAACAACAGAATGTGGAGCAAAAAAGCAAATGAATTTCCCTTACACAATCCAAAGTTCTCCCAAAACAGGAATTCCATTAGAGGTATGAATTAATTTAATTTTAATCTCACTTGGTGCAAAGAATTTTATCTGACTCTCTAAATTTTAATAGAACACAACAGAAATTTGTGTTAAACTGAAATGATATCCGTTGGGAAAAATGATCAGCTAGCAAGATCTGCTTTTCTTATTCCTTAACTTCTGCTAGCAAAATTTTGGCTTCTGTTTGCAAATTTGTTAGTGAAAGCTAAACAACAACAACAACAACGACAACAACAATAATAATAATAGTAATAAACTGAATCACTGGAGGATGAAGGCCTCTTCATTGATAGTTATAGACCAAAATCTGATAACAGTGGTCCAATGCAGGCTGGTAGATATTTCTAGATTTCCTAGTTTAAGTTTCAAATTCACCCAAGTGGTTTCCATGCTGAAAGGGAGACTAGAACCTGGGTCCTCTGCTCCTAGCTCCTAATCAGCCTCTTAACCACACCATCCTCATTAAAGGCTAAATTAAGCAGTATTAAATTTGCACTTAAAATTAAAATTGCTACAAGTAGTCAACATACCTTAATGAAAGATGCATATTTGAAAAAAACATTGGAATTGTAAAATAATTGTCTACAGAAACTTTTTTAAAATAAATGAGTATTTTTACTTTTACTAAACCAATGCTTTCACATTTTTAAGGTTGACATATTGCTAACATGTTATCTAATCAAATATTATTTTAATGCTCTTAATGCACACTAAGTATCATACATATAGTTTGTCCCATGTGGTTTCAAAGCTCAGCATCACCTGATAGCTTCCATGTTGGTTGAAGCTGGTTGACTCTATAGAATAGGTTTACAAATTGTAATAACTCAGAAAGCATGGCTGACATTTTATGGGTTAGGACTCTGAATGAAACAGAAAATGGGCCTTGTTTTGAACCTGAAACAAAGTATTACATTTCAGAAGTTCTGTTGAACCATTTTTGATATGTCATGATTTGATAGAAACAAAACCTGAAACATTTTAGTTGTTCAATTTGGTGTAGTGTTAGGGCATCAGAGTAATCTGGCTGCCAGCACTGAACATGCCAGCAACAAGAGGACACAAATTAGGTTATGCTGATGATTTGGCCATAGCAGTACAAGAAAAACATATGGAGGTGGCAGACAGCCTCCAGTCCAAAGATCTTAAAATCTTGGGAAAATTATTCATTGACTGGAGGCTCATTCATAGCACCAGTAAAACAGTAAGCTACGTCTTCAATCTTAACAACGAACTAGTATAATGAGCCCCAAAGATCTACTTGAACAACAACCCACTCCCCTATAATCCCCATCCAAAGTAACATTGGACTGGACTCTTCTATAAAGAACACCTAGAGAATATGTCGGCAAAAATCAATACTAGGATCAACTTACTCCAAAAACTATGTGAAAATAAATAAAAATAAAATAAATGTCACTCTCAGGTCATCAGGACTAAGGTTGGCCTACTCCGCAGTAAAATACTGTGCCCCTGTGTAGCTTAAAAGCTGCCATACTGGTAAGTTAGATGCCATGAGATTATAAGCAGCAGATGTATTAAAACCATTCTAACTTTCTGGTTTCCTGTTCTGAGCCATATAGCATCACCAGCTTTGTGAGAGAATACAAAACAGAAAAATTATGAACTCCTACCGGTGTACACTGACCTTCCTCATTTATCAGCCAGAAGACTCAAATCCAGGAAAACCCCACTGACATTTGCACATCTTCTCAATAACTTTGATTCCCAATGGAAAACCAAATGGTTTGCTGAACATCCAGATATAGGAAGACATATAGATGACCCCACTAAAGTGGCAGCAAAGGACAATCCTGAATAGGATTCACACCTCACACGACATCTGCTGGGATTCTCTGTATAAGTGAGGCATAGTATCCTCCCCTCAGTGTGATTACAGAGGTCCCATGTCAAATTGTATATCAGTAAAGACATCCAGTATCTGTTGTTGTTTTTTAAGTGTAAACAGTACTGTGCTTCAATGGTTAGATGGCCCAGACATTGTTTTTTGAACACAGATCTTTTTAACATTTATATTTTATTGTGTTTTACATATCTAGATGAAATAATATATATTGCTAATCTATGTATGATATGCCATATGCTAAATAAATAAATAAGGTACCAAGAGGCCCTGAGTTCAAGTCCCATCTTAACCATGAAAGCCAGTTGGGTAACTTTGGGCCAGTTACCTTCTCTCAGCCCAATCAACCTCACAGAGGTTGTGTGTGTTATGTATATGTGTATGTGTGTGTTAGCTGATGTTATTAGTAAAAATAATAAAAGTGGAATATAAATAAAATGATGTATGATTTTAAAAGGCAAATAGGGCAAAACTTGATTTCGTTGCTTTTTCCATCTCCTTCAAAAACAAATTATTAATTCTAGTGCTTTTCTAATTTCCCCTGCTTGGTTGGTGTACCTATTCCTTACCAGAAGTTGCCAGCCTGGTATATAAGCATAGTAAAAGAGGGGAAACTTATACTTGTTTTTTTTTTCTTTTTGTGTGGGTGTGTTAAGATCTGTATTAATTTAGAATTCATAAAAAAAAAAGAAATGTGTAATGGAAAGGGAATATGGCAGACTAAAGAACCAGCTAAATTAATAAGTTTAATATAGATTAATAAAAGCAAGGAGAGACATTGGTAACTTCATTATTATTACTATTAGGCAAATATATATTGTTTATTTTTATTTTTAAAATAAATATTAAGGATTATATTTGAAATAATTGAAATGAAATAAAAAGATGTTTAGATTGAGATTAATGAAAGAATTTAGAATTAAACTTTATTACTATTTATTAGGCAAGTACATATTGTTTATCCTTACGTTTAAAAATAAATACTAAAGGATTATTTTTGAAATAATTGAAATGAAACAAAATTGATTGAGATTAATGAAAGAGTCTAGAATTAATGTGTTCATTTCTCTCCTTACTGAAAATCTGGAATGGAAAAGGTAATAATAGTATGCATATATCAATGTATAATTTCTGTCATATTTGTATGTAAAGATGATGACCCGGAAATATGTTGTCCACTAAAAAGAGATTTTTGTTTTTAACGTGAAAAACTGAATAAAGTCTGTTTAAAAAAAAAAGCATACTTTGGAAATGCTGAGGGTTTAATTCCAGACCACTACAATAAAACAGATACCTTAATAAAGTGAGCTATGTGAATGTTTTGGTTTCCCGGTGAATATTTAAGTTACATTTACACTATGCTGTGATCTATTAAGTCTGCAGTAACTTGTCTAAAATATTATACCTTAATTAAAAGATTAATCAATGCTAAAAAATGTTAAGCAGCATCTGATTCTTCAGTGAGTAGTAATTTTTTGCTGGTGGATGGTCTTGTAAAGAAACCTAAAATATTTATGCAGTGCAATAAACTAAGGGGTAATAAAATGAGATATACCTGCATTTTGTCATCTTGCCTATTGATTCCCAATCTTCCCAATGTTTTCCATTTTTTAACTTCTCTACCTCCGCTCAGCCACTGCTGCTGCTATCAATGTTAGCAAAACAAAACAGGAAAGAGCCTTTTGTGGTCTACACAGGCAGTAAGCAGGCCCTCCCTAATATCACAATTGTCACGGGAAGGATTATCCATCTACTTTTCCCACTCAGCCTTGGCATTTTCTTGCCCTTCACCACAAAAACATTTCTGCTTGGAACAACCATATTTTGTTTTTTATCTGAATCAATGCTTCTGAAGCATACAGATACGATATGAGCCACCTGAAACAAGCTATTCTATATACAAAATCATTTTGTGCATGAACCATTTTGTTTTGCCCTAGATTGGGTTCATACAGCAAAGTAACCCCAAACCAGATAAACTTATATTATGGCTTATTGTGATGTGTAAATCTTGCCACCGTCAAGTAAGTATAACCAGAGGAAAAATATTGTGAATAGATTGTTTTAAACAGTATTTAAAACTGTTACTGAACATTGCAATATGTTTGTCACAAAAGTGATCCTTGAATTCAATTTTTTGTACAGATTTAACAACAGCATGGAATTCTTTTTCACAAACAAAGGCAACAGTAAGTAGTATTTAGCACTGAGTTAAAAGAAATTGAAAATAATTATTATTTAAAAATGAAAAGTAACAACTTATGCTTAACTTGTAAATGTTATAGGACAGTAAAAGATTAAGATACTTTTTTAGTAAAATACAATTAGGAATCAGCCACCTCTTTGTTCTATCTGGACACTTGAGTTGTTTCTTACGATCCTAGGATTCCCAAAATCAGGAAGCTGCTGTCTTAATTCCACAGATACTGTCTTCTTATCTATACTGTTAGTGAGGTCTTACTGTTTTCTTGCTTCCTTATTTCTGTCAGTCACCCAGATTTTAATTTTAGTTCTCTGAAAATGCAATTGATCTGCTAAGGTAACTCTTCTCAAAAAAACTTAAGAAATTTGCTTGGAAGTTTTCCAATGTAATGAATTTGATGTATTTGGTCTGATACATCAATTTTTCATTCATTCTTTTTTCAGGATTGAAAAGTATAATATAAATTATTTCCTGCAATGAAAATGTTTGCATTAATGTGAAATTATTTTTGATTGTACAAAGCTGAAATTAAAATCTGAGTTCATTTTACTTAGGTTAGGGAATGTTTCATGCAATTTTTGTAAGCTTTTTAAAACTTTTTTTTTAAAGTGGCGATATAAGAGATTTAAAATGTTGATACCTTTCCTATCTCATTTAATCTACCAAGTTGCAGCATATTGAGAACAAATTGGAAGTAGCTCCTATTAGCACAGCCAGATTGGATACTGTCATGGAAAAAAAGCCATCAATTAGTACTACCAGGAAAATAAGCAGGAAAGGTATGTATTAAACCCTTTTCAAAAACGAGCTTTCAGTTGCTTATGGTAGCATTTTTAAATGGAGCATTTTTACTCTGCAACCTGCAAAATCAACAAATTACAAATGGCAAAACTTGAAAATTTTGTTTGGGAATTGAATTGCTATGTGTTGGCCGGTGGGGTATCTTAAGTTCTTGTAGTGAAAAAGTTCTACATTGAAAATAATTACGGATTCTGTTATTGCTGGTGCATGTAAAGAACAGGAAGAAAAACTACCTGAGATTGTTTCTTGTTTTTTTAACCAGACGATTGTCTTCATAACATTTCCAGTTTGCATAACATTAGCGTTTTGTTATTAGGGTTATACAGCGTTTCACTTTATTTACAACAAAGTGTTTTGGGTATAGTACATAGCATCAGTCAGCAATTTTTAAAATCAAATCTCATAAATCTATTCCAGCAGTACAGGGCAACCATGAAACCCTGGGATAAAACAGATTTTAAAGAATTGCCAGCAAGTGCTACATAAGCATCCCATCATCATCCTTTCCATTCTATCACCTTCATCACCCTTTCCACTCTGCATCATTAACCCTTCTACTGCAGCTCTGAGTGTGTTCTCGACCTCCCATTAAATATAAGCCTTGGCCATGACAAAGCTGTTTCTGTTTTATAGCCTAAGCTTTTGGGCAGCATTTCTTTAGGCCAGATATTCTTAGGGTTGTTGTTATTGTTACACCATGATTGTTTTTTTCAGGAGCTGTCAGAACTGTTTTTATTCTCCTTAATGAAATTGCTTTTTAAAATTTTCCTTTTCCTCTCATTTTTTATTTCTTCATTTTGTAGTTTTAGATATTTCAGGAACAAGGATGTCTTTTGTGATTTTCCCCATATCTTTCTTTTTATTACAAGTTTTTGTCTATAAATCAAATTTTGTTTATTTTTTCTGATGGTGACATATTGCAAAATTCAGTTTATTTTGCTAGGCATTTACAAAATCACTAAGTCACTAAAACTGAGACTAATATAGAAGAAAAGATTTTAAGTAACATAGTTGTTTAAAAATAGCTGATCAAAGAGAGAGATGACAATTTATATTTAAGATTTTACATAAAATAAAAAAATCTAAAGAGAAAATGTGTAAGACAAAAATTAAGAAAGAAAAGGAAAAGTTATGAAATTCAATGACTTTTGACCTCTTCAGTAGATATTAACAAACCTATCATTTCTTTCTCTTTAGCCCTTATTTAATTCTCATCTGTTTGAATCACTAAATACATACATCATTTGTTGTTTTCTTCTTTTAACTAAAAGTTCAAAGAAGATTTCCACTCTTTTAAAAAAGCATTTTTTTCCTCCCTGATCAAACAGGTTTGCCATTTCAATGAGTTCTGACATTTTTACAATCCATCCTTCCATTGTAGGAATTTCAGTACTCTTCCATTTTTGTGCATATAATAATCTTGACATTAGTAATACATACAAACTTAGTCTTTTCTGATTTGGGATTCATAAATTCTAATAACAATTTATGGGTATTTTGCAATATTAATCTTTAAAATTCTTTGTATAGTTGTATGTATTTGTATCCAATATTTCAGAGCTTTTTCACAAATTCACCACAGATTGTAAAATGTCCATGTTTTTCACATTTCCCGCACTGACAACCTACCTTTATACATTTTTGATAATTTCTTTGGCATCATGTACCAACAACATATTTTATGTAAAATATTCTCTTAAAATATAACACAATGTAAATTCTATTTATCCACATCCTTTGTTGTGTATCCTTCTTATGTAAAATATTCTCTTTAAATGTAACACAATGTAAATTCTATTTATCCACATTCTTTATTGTGTATCCTTCTGTATAGTATAGCCAAAATTGGTAGCCCACTTTATTATAACTGTTTAACTTGTTCATCTTTGGTTTCAAAACTAAATAAAAGTTTATACATTTTTGCAAATACATGTTTATCATTTGTACAAGATTCACTTTCAAATTTCATTGTAGGTTTTCAATTCAATTGCATGTATAAAATCATTCTTTTAATTATATATATGTGAACCATTGAAAACAATATACCTCTGCAATCAGTCCTCTTGACTTAAATTCTCCATGTTTCTGAATTAGTAAATCCTGATATGTCTCTCATTTTTCTCTCTCTCTTCTGTTCCTCTTTTCTAAAATGTTTCCAGTGGTAAGACCAATAAAAGGCATTTTCAGACACAGCCTGGATTTGTAAATGTTTCATATTCTTAGTATGGCATTTCTCACATAATGATTTTTAAAATCCACCTTAAATTTTACTTTATTGTTCCATAAACATCCATACCAAGTTACATCCTTTCAATTCTAGCATGCTTCTATTTCTCAGCAATACTCTATCTTTCATCCAAACTAAACAGTTGGCTGCAAAATACAGTTTAAAGTTAGGTAAGCCCAGTCCTCCTCTATCTTTTGCATCTTGCAGTTTTTTATATTTAAACATTGGTTTCTTCCTTTATCACACAAATCAAATTTTTGCCATTATTTAAATGCTGCTTCACTTTTAAAAACTGGTATTGTTTCAGTGGTGGTATTCTACTGGTTCGGCCCGATTCTGATGTACTGGTAGCACTGAAGATCAGCTGTCAGAGAACCGGTTCACTCCGAACCTCTCCGATGCTCTGCAGTTGGGCCCACCCGTCTGTCCTGCTCCTAGGTCCTTTTTAACCTCTCAGTTGTTTGGTGCAGCAGAGCAGTTTGCTGTGCTAAACAGCTGAAAGGTGCAGTAGCTTAGTTTTTACTGTTTTAATGCATGCACAAAGCACATTTTGGTGTGCACATGCACATGATCCCACCCCTGCAGCCACGTCCACCAAGCCATGCTCACAGAGCTGGTGGTGGGAACTTTTAAATCCCACCACTGTATTGTTTGAAAAAAAAAAAAAAACATTCTGGGCAATATACCGTGTTTCTCATATAATAAGGCCGGGTCATTTTTTTTTATTTTTTTTTGAGCCCCGAAAAAATGGCTAGGCCGTCTTTTGGGGGGTGACTTAATTCCCCACCCTTGCATCTTCGGGCGGGCGGGCAGCGATGGCTTGGATGTTGACCTTGGCGTTGGTGGGGCACTTCATATTGGGGTCAATGCAGGCAGCACCATATCCGGGTGTGCAACAAAAGTACTTCCTAACGGCAAGCCCCCCCACCATTCCCCCCCATTTTGCATGTTTTAATATAGGCCTTAATTTGTGGGGAGGGGCTTAATTTCATTTCATGCCTATAAAACATGCTGGGACTTCCTATTGGGGGAGGCCTTATTGTTGCAGAAACAGGGTAGTACATTCATTTTTATGACAGACATTCTACCAAGCGATGATAGTTGCATTTTTCCCAATCTTAATAAATCTTAATTATGTAAATTCCATACCTTTACATCATTCATAATTATTCTGAAATGGATTTTATTAAATATAATAGTGTCCAAATATTTAACTATTTTTTTCAACCTGAAAACTAGTATTCCCATTCAATTCTATTTGATCTTATATGTTCATATTTTTGTTAATAGTTTATTTTTCTAATTATTAATTTTAAATGCAGCTTTGTAGAAGCTGTGATAAGTCCCAGTATAGAAGATCTTAGGTCTGCTATAGGAGAATAGTACATTGAACTTAATATGAAAATCCTTTTGTAAATCAGAGACAGAACAAATAACCCTATCAGGCATTAAAAAGAGAGAAAGTGAGAGAGAGGGAAATGAGCATTATCAATATTTGCAACTGAAAGGCAAATTTATTTTTTTACTTTCCCCCTATGTTTCTTAAATTCTTTATTCTTTAAACACTCTCTTTCCTGCTTTTCATTCCAAAATGAAGGAAACAGTTTTCTCCACTCAGAATCATTGTTGGAAGCTTTTTCTAACCCTGCTTCCAAAATGAATATAGGTATGAATACAAAGGTGGTCCCTTGTGTAATCATGCCGCAATGTGCCACTTCTGACATTTGAAGTCAGGAGATAGGCTGTGGATATATGTGCTAATAACTATTACTAAGGTGAATAAACACTTCTATAAACAGAATAGATTAATAAAAGAGCATATTTGTAACTCAGGATTGAAATGAGGGGCCCTTAGAGCTTGGTTTTCTTGCAGACGTTTGATTCAACAGTGGTGATGTTACCTAGTTTGGGTCATGAAATGTCTGCAAGAAACCAACCAAGCTCAGAGAGCACCAAGAACTTGGATGGAATGGATTGATGCAATTGGAATAGGTCATTGTGTCATAACTGCCATTTCCAACTGCTATTTGCCTTGTTCTATTTAAACTCTTCAGTGAGAAGCAGAAAATGAGCAGCATTAGTTGTTTTCTGTTCTTGCTTTCTGTCCGAAATGTTGTGTTCTATACAGCTGCCACTTTTGCCCCTAACTACGTTGACCTTAAAGCTACGGAGTAATACTAATTAATATTATTGTAGATATCTTGCCATTTGAGTTCATCATCAGCTTTATATTGTGTTAACCATAGTTCTTAATATTTATCCTTAATTAGAAATTTAATATTTAGTTTCTTAAAACAATGTATTATATTTCATGATTTATAATTAATTATGGACTGGAAAATTGTTATTATTTTGGCTTTAGGGAACTTTTTTTTACTGAGCTTTATTTTCTTCTGTTTCTTTATTATTTCTAAAATGCCTAATAAAATCAAAAGGTAATAAAAATGGGAGAGAAAAAAGTAAGCTTATCAATTTGACATAATGTAAAGCTTCCATTAGCAGTTCACAAATGTGTGAATATCTTTTACCATAGTTTCACTCTTTAGGGTTTTCAAAACAAAATAAATAAATAAAACTAATTTAGTCTTTAAATATAAAGAGTATAAATAACATTCAATTCTGAGGCTCTTTCAATTACCAGGCTAATTAAACTGGGTCAGTGTAAAAATCTTTCACCAAGACAGTAATGTGGCTAGGAAATTTTTCTCCTGCTCTCAATTACATGTAACTGAAATTATCCCAAACTTGTGTTGTCATCGGGTTATTCTTGTAAACGCAGAAATGTTATAAATTTGAGAGAAAATCATAAGACTAGAAGTTTTCTACCAGGGTGCTCTTCAGCAGAATTTATAATTATCTACCATGATTAACAAAGTTAATCTATCCCAACAAAATTCATTGCAAATAAAAATTAAAAATAGAAAACCACATTCAAACTTCAGTTGAACTGACCAGGTGTTTGGTTCAGATGTTTCCTACCATTGTTGCAATAACTATAATTGTAGTTGGAAATAAATAAAATTCCACTAGACCCCCCCCCAAGTTCTTTCATCTTTGAAATTTTACTTTTTGCTATTATAATATTGCTAGCACTAATTTGTGTATGTGTTTCATTGATGCAGTATTAAAAATAAACAGGAGGGAGGGTGGAGCTGGCGGAGCGACGATACGGCATGCGATCTTGGAGGTCTGAGATTGCTGCCAATATCTTTGCTCCTGGACAATCCTATCGGATCTAAACCGTCCCGAAGAGACGGTGAACGTGAAGAGCGCATCCTGGCAATCCCAGGGATACCACAAAGTCCCTGGTAGATCCAGGAGAAGCTCTCCTTGCCAGCGGCAAAGAGGCAGCCATTAAAGCTGCTGAAGTTGGGACAGCTCCGAAACAGAAGAAAACAGAAAGAGAGAGTGTGCCGATTTGGTGAGAACTTTTTCTTTATTCTAAGATCTGAAAGGACACCCTAAGGAAAAGAAAGAATCTGTAAAAGTTTTGACAGAAGTGATTAAGCGGCAATTTTAAACAGGAATGTCAAAGTAATGTTTTTTTTTCTCATAGATGGATTTTCTATACATGGTCTTATATTTTGAAACTGGACTGTTTTTTTCTTTTTCATTTTTTTTTCCTTTTTGATTTTGCAACATTTTAGACTAGAGACTCCCTTTTAGTTATTTCTTTTTAAAAAAAATCTTTTTCTTTTTTTCTTTTTTTAAAATTAATTCTTATTATATTTTGCTTGGAAAAGGAGAGGGAAAGTGAAAGCAAAGAAGCTTTGTAACACTGCCAACTAGAGGCTTGGAAATATTCTATTTCTCCTGTGACCAGACAAACCTGAGAAAGAAAGAACTGAGACCTTTTTCCAAGGACATTGCTATGTGATAAGATAGAGGGAAGAGCGTGGGAGAGTATTATTGCAGGTGCTCTTCTGAGTTTCTATCAACAGCTGGAGTCTGGTGTTGAAACCTAGGAGAAAAAAAGGTGATAAGTTTTTGGAGAAGAGAGTTATAAGAAGAGCCTTGGATAATTAAACAAACTGCAGTGTGCTCTCTTTACTTTTTCTAAGTTGTGCTATCCCTCCTCACCAGCTTTATTTTATTTCATTTTATATATATTTTTTGTAATAGCTATTTGGATCTTTGGCTTTGTTGGAGCTTGTCTTTGTTTTCTTTTTTTTCTTTGGAAGTCTAATCTCTATGCTTGCTTTTTATTTTAAAGTGAAAGCTTTAGTATTAATGTTTCCTTTTTTTAAGGGAATAGCCTTTTTTTCTCCTTTTCTGGTATTTTTGTTTTTTTCATCTACCTTTCTGGTTTATTTTTATGCACTCTTTTCTATTTGAGACCTCTCAGTTGGATTAAGGTGTTGAAGAACCTGAAGAATTTTTCCTTTCCTTTTTTTCTTTTTTCAAGCCTTTTTCTTCATCTAACTACTGATTGGATTAAGGTATACAAGAACCTGAAGAAATTTTGTCCTCCCTTTTTTTATCATTACTATTTGGCTTCTTTTTTCTACTATTTTTATTTCGAACTAGAATTGGTTATTTCACAATTAAATGTAAAGGACAAAAAATAAGATCTAGATGGACGTTAAATAATACTATTTTAAAGGAAAAAGACTTCACACAGTGGATGGAGAAAGAATTGGCTTTTTTCTTTAGAGAAAACAAAAAAGAAGACACATCAATTCAGAATGTAGGGGATACAATGAAGGCATATGCCAGAGGCTTGATAATAGAAAAGAAATACTATGAAAAGATTAGCCTCTAAGGCCTTAGAGGATGAGTATAAAAGACTTGAAAAAGAGCTACAGAAAATGCCACAGAAAAAGGACATCAAGCTAAAAATGGAAATAGTTAAACATAAAATGGGTCAAATAGAAAAAGAAGGATTAGCACAGAAAATTAGAGGTGCTAAACAGAACTACTTTGAAGACACAAACAAACCAAGTAGATGGTTAGCATACAAATTGAGAAAGGAGAAAGAATCATGGAAAATATTGCAATTAATAGATGACCAAGGCCATGTTTGCTATGGTAGTAAAGAGAAAAAGTAATCCTTCGAGACTTCTGTGGGAAACTATATATGCAAGAGAATATTGATGAGGAAAGAGTTAAACAGCACTCACAGAATGCTAATTTACCTCTGATACCTAAAGAGATTGAAACAATGTTAGAAAGCAATATAACGATGATGGAGTTAACTGAAGCACTCAAGAAACAAAATAATGGAAAGGCACCAGGCCCAGATGGACTTCCGGCAGAATTTTACAAAACATTACAAGAATCGTTGAATCTTCCATTGCTCGAAGTTATGAATGAAGTTATGTTAAAGAAGAAGATACTTAAATCATGGTCAGAAGCCTATATTACACTTATTCCAAAAGAGGAGGCCGATCCATTACAAATTAAGAACTATAGACCTATTTCTCTACTAAATGCAGATTATAAAATCTTTGCTTCAATATTGGCAGAAAGACTTAAAAAATATCTAAATAATTTTATTCATCCTGATCAAAATGGATTTCTGCCAAAGAGACAAATTAAAGATACTGGACTAAAATCAACACGTGGTTGGAAAAAATGACAAAAAAACATATAGACTTGAAACCAGAGATATTTTTATTGGGAATTTTACCTGAAATATATAGTAAAGACTTGAAATATCTGATTGTTAATGTATAAACAATGGCTAGGATTGTATTTGCCAAAAACTGGAAAAATGAGAAAACACCATCACAGGAAGAAATCATTAAGAAAATATTGGAATGTGCTGAAATGAGTAGATTGACATTTGAAATTAGAGAACAAGAAGATAAACAATTTTATAAAATTTGGGATCTATTCTATCAATGGTTAGACAATAAAATACAGTAATGAAATATGTAGACTTTTAGAAAATAATAAATATATAAAGATGTACTTTCTTATTATAGCTACAAAATGATCTTAGGATAGATTTGGGATGATAACATGAACTGTTATAAAACAAACTAGGTAAATTATGATTATCTGGTAAAACATGAATGAATAAAAGTATAGTCAAATGATTGATTAATAATGATACTAAGGTATTTAATTTTTGATTGAAAATATGAGATTATATGCAATGTAATTGTAATTGAAGACTACGAAATGGAAGCACAAAACAATTTGTAAACCAACCGGCACACTGTGTGTATACATATGGAAGATGGCTTGATGTTTTTATGTTTTGTTTGTTTATGTTTGTTTTTAAAAACCAATAAAAACTTAAAAAAACAAAAAAAATAAACAGGAGGAAGGAATAGCCCCGTACTTAGTCATTACAGATAGTCCTCACTTAATGAACCTATTTGGGATTAGCAACTTCAGTGCTGAGCAAAGTGGTCATTAAGTGGGAGATCATACGATCACAACTGCGTTTTCCAGCTAGAAAGAGACAAAGTTTTTGATGTATAGGAGAACGAACAGCTTACTCTGTTGCCAGACAAAAGAGAAATTGCCTATAGAAATAACTTGTTTCCCCCTACATCCATACCCACGAACAGCAGAGAGATTAGAGAGTATTTGTGCAAATGGAGCTATGTATATGAGCGCTCCAGCACTGCTTGCACAGAATCCTCCCCTATCTCTGCCAGAGGTCAGAGCCAGAAAGGTTGGAAACCACTGCTGCAGTCCTGAGCTCCGGTCATGATTGCGTTGCTTTCGATAATGTATAACAGCAAACGTATCTCTTGCAATCCCTTCCTGTCCAATCGCTGTAGAAGGGGGAAAAGGGAGGGGAGGGAAACAGTCACAGGAGAACATGTACTGACTGTAATGGTGATCACATGACTGAAAAGTTGTAGATGGTTGTAAATTAGGTGTAAAGTTATTTTTTCAGAAACCACAAATCTTTGAACAGTTGCTCTCTAAGTGGTAAGTAAGAAAGGACTGTCTGTACTTTGGATTATAGTGTTTTATTAGTATGAAGTATAGTATGGAAGTGCAAAACAATTGAAACTGAATAGTGTCCAAATCTCTGGACAAATGTAGAGCATAGAAAGAATAGAACGGCATTTCAAATTTAATTCTCTCTTTTAAGTTCCAGACACTGCTAAATTTGAAAGCAGTGTTTTGCACATTGGGGACAGTGTTTCCCTACCACAAACTTCTAGTAGTCACAATTTATCTAGCTTTATAAATTATCCTTTACTATGTAAATGTCTTGTTTGTAATACCACAAAAAACTCAAATTTATACGTGTATGTGTGCATAATTAATGCAGCTCTTTTATCAATTATTTTTCAGTGTATACTTTCAAACTTGAAATCATACTGAAAGGATATCTAATGTTAATTTTTACCACTGTTCTTGACTTCTTCTTGAACCCATAGAGATGCATGAAAAACATCTTGATTTTTGTTTTAGGGTGCAGGTCTTCCAGTCAAAACAAGGAAAGTTCTTTCCGCAGGCCTCTTCGTGCTACCACTTTGGATAGCAATGTGAGTAAGAAGGGACATGTTGAATTTCGTCAGCCCCTGTCTTCTTTCAGGTGAGTTTGATTACTTTTGTCATTTTACCATTGCAGGGATTATAGAAGTAAATTGTAAGCATAATTGTTTACTGTTTTTGAAGAATTTACATTTATTGATACGATTACTTACAGAGTAATCAAACCTTAAAGAGATTTCATGAAATGGAACTCTTGCTTATGCTATTGCTTGCAATTTAGGAGGGAAGACAATGTTTTTACCAAGTTATCAAAATTCTAGCTGCATTCTAAAAAAATAATCATCACTATTCTAAGAGAGAGGGAAGGGTGTTATGTTAATGGGAGAAGAAAAATATGCTAAGTGAAGAAATTATCCTACTTGAACTTTTGATACTATTTTATCCTGGAGAAGAGTACAATTCATGAAATTAGATTCCCCTTCCTCCTCCCCCTCCCTGTATTATATTCCCTGACTTTCTGTAGCAAAGATTAGAGTGCTTTCCCTTCTCCTCTCGTTTGGTCCTCTGGTCCCCTCTATATTCTTGTCAGGAAAGAGAGGGGACTTTCTTGTTTTAGCTTATTCGTTGGGAAAAGAGATGTACTTAGTAGGTCTACATGAACTGCAATATCATGACTATTAAGAAAATTCCTAGGCTGTTTCATGCTGTGGATCTAGAAAGGATCCTGTAGGGAACTTTTTGGTTTGGCTTTTTATAGCTAAGATGTGTTGGATGCCTGACAGTGAAAATGCCAATCCATGTTCTGTGTTTGTGAATTCTTGGAATTGGAGAGGGGACAGGAATTATTATTTTACTTAGAATTATGGCTTCAAAATGAAAAGGCTTTGATAATAAGACATTCTCAACGACAGAAGGAAAAAGATTTTCTAATTACTTATGTCTTTCTCTCAAGTTCAAAGTTGTTTTCGTTTTATGACAAACATAGATTTATTAGAGTTCCTGTTTTTATTTATACATTTATACATGAATGTTTAATGTGTCTCTGTTAGAGATTCTCTGTGGTCACCATCTTATGAAACCTCTTGCCAATTGGAGGCCAGACCTCTGAAGTATAAAGAAGCAGGGAATAAAGCTGAAGGAAGTGGTATGATCCATGATAAAGGAGAGCCAGATTTGCATGGCAGAGATTTGAAAAGCTCGTCTTTTACAGAAGAAACTGTTGTTCGCTATTTGAATGATCATCCAGCAATTAACGCTTTGCAAAGTTCAGATGTGGTGAATCCTACAAAATTAGAAGAAGAAAGTGAAGAATCCAGAGGAGAGGAATATACAAAAACATCTCCAAGTTCAGTAATCCAAAATGAACTAAAAGAATTGCAATTGGTAGAATCTTCAGCTTCTTCTGCCAGTACCTCAAGTGCCCATAGATTAGATATTTTAAAGCAGCATCAGCATGGTGATAAACTGGAAAAACTGAAAGAACGAATTAGAAAGCAATGGGAGTGTTCAGACGAACTGACTGTCAGAGGACATAATCCTGAATATTCTGATCATCCTGTAACTATTACAGCTCCTGAAAATATAGTGACTCCTAAAATCAGAAAAGTGGCAACAGCACCTATGGTTCCCTCCTATAAAGGTACATAATTTCTAAATAAAATGTATATGTAAGAAAAAAATTTCTGTGTAATGAAGGCTAAGATTTCCATTTTTCTTTTCTTGGGATCAGTTACAAACCCACTAACATTTCAAAAACTTTTTTATTTTTTTTTCTCACCTTTCAAATTTTACTCTATTGTCTATCACCCTATGTTTTCTCCTCTTTTTTGTCAATAGCATATTGTGACAAACTCTTTGTGAATATTGCTTTTGAATTATATGTAGGGTTTTTTATGTATACTATTTCACCTAGAAAACTTTTTTAAAAAAACTGGTAGCTGAACATGGAACTGGTAACAAATAATTGGCTACAAATGGACCACAGATGTATAATATAGTGATTGTATTCTAGTGGTTTTGTAAAGATCTTGTCTTTTGTGATTAACTTTGTATTTAATATTGAATGTATTTAGATAGAAACCTCAGCTACTTCCATGTAGTAGAGGCTTGAAATCTAAATAGCTTTCTAAATAGAATGTTATGAGTATTTTAAGCTGCTAAAATTAATTGTGCTGTTCTTTTAGGTTTCAATCCATCAGAAGCCAAGATTCGTACTCCTGATGGAAAGGTATGGTGTGAAGAGGAATTTTTGAACCTCAGTAGAGAGTTATGTCAAGATTTAGAATTCCAGTTGGCAGGTAAAGAGCAAGAGTAATTTTGCGAATATTTACATTAAAAGCAGTGATATTGTATATTTAACCTACTTATCTCATAAGCCTGTAATTAATACTTTGAAGCCCTGTAAATTTAAAGAAATAATAAAATTGGTAACTTAATTCATACTTTGTTTCAATGAGTTCTGATTTGAAAGTTAATAATAATTGCTATAACATGCTCCTGTAGTTCTGGTAGGAGTTTGCTTGATGTGCTAATGGTTCTTCAACATATTTTTCAGAAGAGGATTTGACTCCAATAAAGACACCTATTGAAAAAAAAGAGAAAAAAGGACACAAACCAGTGCGTAAAACTCAGAAGATGGCACAGCTCTCAAGTCCTTATTCTAAATCAGGTGCATTTTATTTTAATTTTTTTTGTTTAACTATTGTGAGCCACCAAGAGCCATTGACAGTCAGGTGGCATACAAGTTTTATCATTTCATTCATTCATTCACTCACTCATTCATTTATTCATTCATAATAATCATCAGTGTTGACTTATACTTTTCAAAAGAGCTACTTCCATACGTCTGAGGGCTGTAGTTATATTCTCTTATCATCCTCTTGCTTGCGTACTGTTTCCTCAAATACAGCATGTATCATGTTAACCAAACATTGCAGATCCATGACCCTATGCTAAGGTGAAGATCTTAAGTTTCACTGCAGGAATGTTGTAGATTTTCTCAGTAGTCTCTGCAGAGCACATTGTGGGATATAAAGAGACAAAGTTAATGGTAAGCAAAGATCAAAGACAAGGGTAGCTAGCTTTAATTTAAGAATGCAAGAAATTTAAAATACAAAGGTAAAAAATGAATGCTAAGAAAAAATAAAATGCAGAGAAAAAAGTGGGAAGGGAAAAAATAAATTTACACAAAGAAATGACTTCTCCCTTCATCAAGGCAAGTACAAACAATTTCAGCAAATTATTATCTTTCAGCCAAAGGTTTGTAAACAATTTCAACCAAAAATCCCATGTTTTATCTGTTATTTGCTAATAAGGCCTGTCATTCAGTCTGTCTTTCATGTAGTCCTCAACCTACATTGTTGCTATGAACTTTTCCAGATTTAAAATACTTTTTAACATTCTGTATTAGGGACTTCTTCTCCTTGAAATAATTTTTAGTTCTTTCCGGTTGCTTCTAGTAGGCTGCTTTTAAGGTCATAAGCTTCATGTATTTTAATAGGATTCTGTCATGCCCCTGTTGGAATCTGATTCAGAGGGGAAGGCCGAGCAGCTGACAGGGAGTGGGAGTGTGGCTCCGTTGGCTGTGGAAGAAACTGGGGGAAGGCACAGCCTGGCTGGGCAGAGCAGGGGAGAGGGAATTCAGAGGAAGACCCAGGCCCACTCCCTCTTCATCCTAGGGCACGCAGGGAGGAACCGATAAGGGGGCAACATGAGTTGTGTGGCTTATGGGGGAGGAAAGGACCCTGATTCCCTTCATTAGCTGCAGCTGGAAACACAGTGTTTAAAAAGGGAAGCGCTGCAAAGCAACTTGTTGGGAGCAAATCGTGAATTATCTGGAATCGTGGAGGCTTATCTGTGTTCCTGGCATTTTCCCAACTGTGTGTGTTTTGCTCTGCTTTCAAATCTGCAATTCCTTCTCCTGCCCTGTCAAGTTAATTACTACAGCGTGGTTTGTTTGGATTTTTAGTTACAGTTTGTATGTACTTTTGTTTTTCGGACTGAATTTTCTCCACTTAAAGGCTGTTCCTGGGAGAGTTTTTCTCCTGCTGAAGATAACCTGGATATTGGGGGCAAAGTTGGAGATAATAAAGGAACTCTTCTTGCTTATTTGACTGTGTTGCCTTTGTGCCACGCCCTGGGTCATCACAGATTCTTTAAAAAAAAAATCACAGGAAGGATTTTTATTTTCAAAATCCTATTTCCTGTCAATCTGGCCCATTAGTCCATTTGTAATTTTCCAGAATCAACTTTCCAATAATGCCTTTTCTGTTTATTTCTGAATAATAAATTTTACTTTTAAGTTCTTAAACATATGTGGAACTTCTTTCACTGATGACTGAGGGAAAATTATCCATTGTAATCAAATGTGTCCTCATGAAGTTTCACACTATGCAAAAAAACAATTAAGCCATTTCCAAAAATGATTAAGAGGGGAAATGGGCAAACTGAATGTTCATTCCAAAACATTCCCAATCAAAGTTTGGTGAGATGAGTTTCTCTTGGCTCTTAGAACTCTGACATTGCTGTTATATGGTCTCATGGAGGCCCTCTCTAAGGAGCACTTGTGAGCAATCCTGGTCCTCTCATTTCGGAGAGGAGTTTGGGGAGCTGATCCATTCACTGGCTCCTCTTTCTGCTGTGGTCATCAGTTCTGCCCTCTATAGAGCCATATTCAGTCCACCACTGCTTCCCCAGATGTCGATAACATTAATTCAGTAAAAAGCAATGAAGAAAGGAACTCGTCATTATTTCAGATGATGGTGTCATTGTATGAATTGGTGAGATAGCAATGCGTTTCCTTTTCTTGCCACTTCTATCCATGTACTTTCTTTAAAATATAGAGTCCTGGTGTGTTATTCAATAAGAAATAGAAAATGTTTTGTGTCTTTTTTCTTGGTTTAGGTGGTGCCAACACAATAAGTACAGCGTCCTGGAGAGACGGACAAAGACTAGCAAAGAAAATACTGGGTCCAGTGCCTAAAATAGAGCAGCCAAACACTCAGATGTTGTCTAGTGACAGGAATGAAAAAGATAAATCTATTAAAACTGGTAAGTTAAATATATATTTGGGAGAGGGGGGGTTGTGTGTGCATGTGTGAGCATTTTCATGCCAATGAAAAGCAGCTGTTCACTTTATGTCTCATATACTGAACAAAATAGAACTTAATTCTGAACAATTATTCTTTTTTGCACACAGTTCTTTAAATAAATTTTTAAAATAAAAATTTGGTACCTTCACTTTAAAGGCTGAATAAATACCGTACAGCAAGGGCCCTACCCAGGCCATGGCCCAATACTGGACTGCAGCCTGTTGAAAACTGGGCTGTTGCATGAGTGCATGAAGCTGCATTTGCACAAGCAACACACACGTGTGAAATTATCCCCTCTCCCTGGAGCTGGAAAGGTTGGGGTCTGCTGCTGTGTAACACGGAATTATTAATGTATTCTTTTTTTTAAAAGAGATAAAATAATAATAGGTAGAAATAAAATCTACGATTCACCATGCTTGACTATCCAACAATATTTCATGAAATATTTTGCTACTGGTAAATAATAAGAATTGTTATCACTTTGGGAGGAGGGCAGTGTGATTTTGAAGTATTAATTTAAATTACTCCATTGCTGACCATACCCAGTTTTGCAAAATTGCAGTTATGTAATAGGCTATATTCTAGAGCAGGAGTGTCAAACTCAAGGCCTCGGGCCTACATCTGGCCCACAAAGTGCTTAGATCTGGCCCATGGAGATGCCCTGGAAACAGTGAAGGAGTGGCATGCGGTGCCTCTGCAGCCTTCCCAAGGTCTGTTTTTGCAGGAGGGTTGCAGGGGGCTGTTGCAGCTGAAATGGAGCTTTCAAGAGCCATGTACAGCTCTCCCGAGCTCCGTTTTTGCTGGCAGAGGGTTGCAGGAGACCGTCACAGCCAAAAACAGAGCTCGGGAGCCCATTTTCACTGGCAGAGTGCTTCGGCCACCACAGGCACTCCCGACATGAGTGATGTTGAGCTGACCACGCCCACCCTGGCCATATTCAACCTGGCCCCCAAGGTCAAACACAACCCTCAATGAAATTGAGTCTGACACTCCTATTCTAGAGCCTATATACAGTCTGATTATGCTGTAAATCAGGGGTGTCAAACTCATGGCCCACGGGCCAGATGTGTCACACTCTGGCCACGCCCACCCCCATTTTAGCAAAGGGGAAAAAGTTGTGATACATCATGTGATAACAACTTGACGCCACAAGTTTGACACCCATGCTGTAAATAATTTCATTAACTAATTAATTAATTAGATTTGTATTGCTGCCTATTCACCATGGTGACTCAAGGTGGCTTCATGCAGCAAATTCTCATGGGTGATCCAGTTGAAAATCTGAGAACGTGAAAATTATAGCCCTAACTAATTCTTTCATGACTAGTTTCAAAGTTGTATGTATTCTTTTTCTGGTAATGGTTAAAAAATATTACATTGCTTTTGCATATTATTTTATTGCCCAACATTATTTCCAACCTTTTAAAAGTAATTTTTCTTTCTAGATCAAATAATGTAATTTCTGGGTATAGTGTTCAAATTTCATAAAATAAGATAGATTAAAAAATGATGCCCATCAAATAATGTCCCCAAATACTGGATATTAAAATGAATATGCTACTTTGAATCTTAGTTCCTTGGTAATGCTAAATTCTGATCTTCCCCACCTCTGCTTCCCTCCAATATCTTCAGCTCAAATAACAGAAGCTGACTGCAATATGCCTGTGGCTGTAAAACCCCTCACAACATGTCCTGAGCGTTCATCGAGCAAAATAAGAGGAAAGAACAACCTGAAGAAAAAAGATGCTGCTCCTCACAATGAGGGACTGGGAGATGATCGTGTAAATAAGGATTTCTTGCCAGTAGAAATCCGTGGGATTCTTGATGATCTGCAACTGGATTCTGTAGCTCAGGATTCAGAGAAGAGGAATGAAATATGTCACAATCAGGAATCAGAACCACCCCCATTTTCTAGAAGTCACAGTCCAGGCAAAAAAAAATCAGACAAAGTTCCCACCAGTGAAGACACTCAGTTTATCTTAAAGAAGCGCCACTATGATGCAGATGAAGTGCGCCAGTATATTGTGAGACAGCAGGAGGAAAGGAAGAAGAGAAAAAGTGAAGAAAAGAAAGCACAAAAGGAGGCAACACAGCAAAAAAATAAAAGACTCCAGGAACTTTACAAGAAACAAAAAGAAGCCGTTGCCAATAAAACAAAGACAACATCAACATCTGAAACGGTCACTAAACAATTGCAAGAAACTTATTCTAAATTGTTCATGGAACAAACATTGCTGGAGAATCCAGCACTCTCTGTTCAAGAAGTTCAGGTAAGTTGATAAGAGTTGGGATAGTTTCTGTGTTTTTTCCATGTTACTTTTAAAAAAATTGCATAAAATAAGCAGCAATACCTTCTATTTGTTCATTTGTTGCATTTACAACATGCCATTTCCTTGAGCTTACCACCTCAAGAATATTAACACTTGGATATTTTTTCTGAGAGGTAAAGGTGAGATATTTCACGTTAGCTAGGGTTTAGACTTTATCCCTTTAATACTATTAAAGTTGTTGAGGTAATTCAACTAAAAGAGACTAGTCAGAGTGGTCTATTAAATCCCATGGTTGCCTAAAGACAATCAGAAACACCGTAAGTAAGAATAGCATTAATAGGATGTGTAAGAATTGCCAACACTCTTGAAGTCCGCAAAGGAAGTACAATGTACAATTTTTAGCATAGTGTAAGATGTGAAAATAATAGCCACATTAAGACATTTTCTAAAACCCAGACAGAGACAAAGTAGACATCAGCATCTGGCCCTTTGTTAACCCTAGTTGCTTCTGCTCCTTCTACACTAAAGAAAGACCTGAAGATTCATTCTGGATATGTTTAGCTGAACATATTTAGGAAACCATCATGTCCGTGGAAACTTGATTATGCAGCTATAACACTCATGGGGTATAAGCCTTGGCTATTTATCTGAGTCGTTATATAGCTGTTACTTTATTTAATTAGTGTTGAAAAGATCCATATTCAAATCCTTAATTAGTCATGAAAGTCATGGGAAAGTATAAGTATTGATTCAATTTGTACTTAATTTTATTAAAAAATGTCAATTTTTCTTCCCAGTCCAAACCAGGATATCAACCATCTGGAGAATCTGATAAAGAGAACAAGGCTCAGGAGCGTCCTGTTAGTGCATCATCCAGTAGTGATATGTCTCTCTCTGAGCCTCCTCATCCTCTTGTAAGGTAAAGTATGCATTCAGGGCTTAGAAAGTAGAACACACTAAATACCAGAGACAATGGTTTTATATATGATTTAGCTATACAGCTTTTATAGCAGCTGAGAATATTGAAATATTTTTCCAAATCTTGAAAATATATTTACTAAGTTCAGTGCTCATAAAATTCTTAATTATGTCATGAAAAGCAAGATGCCACTTCATAGGTAATTAGAAGTGAAATAGAATTATTTTTGTATATTCAAAGCTATGTCTGTACCAAGATTCTTCAGGAATGCAAATGAAAAGTGCAAGATTATATTGTATGAAGAATTCAGATTCACTTTAAAATATTCAAATTTGGAGCCAGTAATATGTTTAACGATTATATGCTCGACTGTTGTTAAACTGTATTTAAATGTTAAATTCATGCATGGACTGTTAGCAGTCTTGATGGTAGATGGAGTGTTTAGTTAAGTTGAGTGGGTAGGCTGAAGAACCCAGTAATCCACAAGTCTATTTGAGAATCTTTACAGTTTAGATAAGTGAAAAATAGAGTGTCAATAAAAACCAAATCCAATTTTAAAAAATCAAGGAACTTCCTTGCCAAAAGAACAATTAATCAACAAACCACATAAATTTCATTGCCCTCTTCCCTGAAGTCAATCATCCAAAATACTTCTATCCTTGGCCACCATAAGTTTATCAATTCTTAGTACAGGTGATTATTTTATAATTAAATGTTTAAACTTTATTGCTGTAAACTGATGACAATTCAATGGATTATTTACAGAGATAATACACTGGAGCCTTTAAGAATTCATCCAGAGAAGCTGAGTTCAATAGCACAGTTTCCTAGCTCAAAATCTGTTTTGAATGGAGCTTTTTTCTCTCAGCTTTTATCTTTGGATAACATGGGTATCTTGCAAAAGGATTTTGAATCTGTAACATCAAGCAGAAGGAGCCATAACACAGCTATGGGATCCATGTCTTCAACTCCTCAGCCATTTATGTTATCTGCTGTACAACCCACCATTAATCATTATAAACATAAATTGGACCGTATTGAAGCCCTAAAGGCAACTGCAGCCTCTCTTTCAAACAGAATTGAAAGCGAAGCCAAAAAATTAGCTGGGGCTGGCATTAACTATGAAGCAGCGTGGCATACTGAACATGACTTGTTGGATCAAGGTGATACCTGCTGGGCAAAAGCCAGCAGCCCTCCTGTGAGAGAAGATGATGTCTTTTCAGCCAGGCTTCAGAAAATGTTGGCAACCTGCAATTCGCATACAACTTTTGATGATAACCCTCCTGGAATGGAAAATCTTAATGAGTTTAAAAAGCTCCCAGAGTCTATTAGTCCTCATACAGGTGCTGTTGGTCTTCCAGGCAATAATATACCTGAAGAAATATTAGGAAATCTGTCTCAAAAGCAAACATGCTCTGCTGGGCCTGAAAACAAACCTGCTGTTCCGAATGATAGTGCGGATTCCATAAGTGAAGGTCTACTCAGCGATGGTCTTCTCTCTGAGGAAGAAGGTGAAAAGCCTTATAATCCATCTTTGAAGGTTGCTGAGGCATTAAACGAAAAAGAGTTCTGTGTTGCAGATAAAACTGGTTTTGAAACCATAAAAGAATTTCAGAAGGAGGCAGAAAATTATTTACCTATTTTCACACAGATTAGGAATGGTCCAAAACCATGGGAAGAACTTGTCAAGGGAAGTCCGCATAGTGTGATCAACATCTTTACAAAATCTTTTCATTTGTGTGGGAAAGGTAAGCAAATACAAACCTTTTGATATCTCTGATATTTTGTTAGGTAAATAATTGAATGAATATTTCTTAAAATCCTGTGTTCTATATGTATGTCTACTTTTGCTGGTATCTGCTTATAGGTATAAGATTTTAAATTTGTTTTGGAAATGTCGGCTGCTATACTTTTTTGCAATGAAGTCAATCTTTTGTTAAAAAGTTCCACCTCTTTGCATTGCTAGGGAAAGAATATATTTTCTTAGTTCTATGTATAGCTATTTAGAATTTTCCAAGTTGTTTTGTATAATTGGTCTTTGAGTCATGATCATTTTACCCATTTGCATACTCTGTGTTAAACCTTTGTTGAAATATAAATTCTTTTGAAATATTGATTGTATTTCATTTTCACTTTCCTCCTTCTGCCAGAATCTGAAGAACATGCAGGACAGGGATCATCAACACATAGACCTTTACTTCCTGCCATGAGCTCTCCAGATAGTATTGCTTCCTATGAGGATGATTTCATCTCATCAGTGGACAAAAAGTCTACACCTGAGCACAGGTAGATTTTTTTCAAATGCATGATGAAGCTATAAAATAAGAGGTGAAAAATTATTTTAATTGAATAATATGTGGTTATATATGTAATTGTATAATTATTGTATAATTATAATAATGTCTTAACACGATCAAGGCCGATCTAGAGATCGCGAAGGCAGACCCGACATACGTGGCAGACAGAGAGGTGTGGAAGCAGTACTCAAGGACATTAGCGGACCTCGCCAGAGCGCGAGACAAACGCTGAAGAAAAAGAAGAAGAAGAAGAATTATAATAATGTCTTAATAGTCTAGTTTTCTTTAATGATACAAATTGCTATCTGAAAATTCTGACTTCTCAGCTTTAAAATTTTAGTATTCCAACATTTTTGTTAGAATTTGTGATGACCTGGGGCATGGCACAAACACAACACAGTTACATAAGCAAGAAAAGTCCCTTTAGTACCTCCAATTTTGCTCCCAATGTCCAGGTTACCTTTGGCTGGAGAATAAACTCTCCCAAGAATAGTGGAGGAAATTCAGTCGGAAAACAAAGTACATACAAACTGTAAATAAAAATCCACACAAACGGGCTGCAGTAATTAATTTGACAGGGCAGGAGAAGGAATTGCAGACTTGAAAGTTCATCAAAACACACACAGTTGGGAAGATGCCAGGAACCCAGATAAGCCTCTGACAATACCAGATAATTCACCATTTGCTGGCTGTGCGCAACTCCTCTTTTTAAACGCTGTGTTCCCAACTGCATCTACTGAAGGGAATCAGCCCTTTCCTCCCCCATAAGCCACGCAACTCATATTGCTCCCTTCTCCATTCCTCCCTGCATGCCCTAGGATGAAGAGAGGGTGGGCCTGGGTCTTCCTCCAAATTCCCTCTGCCTTGCTCTACCTCTCCCCTGCTCTGCCCAGCCAGGCTGTACCCTTCCCCAGTTTCTTCCACAACCAACAGAGCCACACTCCCACTCCCTGTCAGCTGCTTGGCTTCCCCGTCCGAATCAAATTCCGACAGGGCCATGACAGAATGTTATAAATTAGGACTGCTAACTTCTATTACAGGTAGACCTCGACTTACAACCAGTTTGTTAACAACCATTTCACAATAATGACTGCCTTGGAATGGATGCTTTACAGCTCATAAAGCACTTCTGGCTATCATAAAACCTTGTGCTACCCACACTCTTGGGTCACAAGATCATATTTGGGACACCTGGCAGTGAGTTTCCAATGTCTGGCAATCACGTGACCACCACTTCCAGTCTTGTCTGCCAGCTTCCCCAGAAAACTAGGGGAGAAGCAGGCAGGGGAGTTTTCAAGTGGAGGGGACGTAGGATTTGAGATCAGTTCTCCTAGTGCACCAAGGGATTTCTCCTCTCTGTGCAGGGAGAGGAAATCTTTCTGCACACTGAAGGAATGGGCCTCAAATCCAATGGGAATGATAGTGAACACAGCGAATGTCTGTGGAGATTCTCAGTAATCCAAGTCATAGCTGTCTCAAAGATAGTTTTTTTTGGCTCAGAGGCAACTGGATTGTGTTTTCCCCCCCTTGAGGAAGAAGAAGAAAATATTTCACTTCTAATCCAAGAAGCTTCATCAGTTGTGATGGTGGGCAGATGGAAGGATACAGTGGTGGAATTCTTTTTTTTTTACTACCGGTTCTGTGGGCGTGGCTTGGTGGTCATGTGACTGGGTGGGCGTGGCCAACTCAATGTCACTCACATCAAGGGGTGCCTCACCTGGCCCCTCCCCTCCCAGCCATTCCTTGTCACACCCAGCCCCAACTTATCTATAGTTCTGTAAAAATGTTGTTCACCTGTTTTGACTTTATTATCTGCATACTATAGATGTACTTTCATGGACCACTGAAAGGAGGAAATGGCTCACATGCTTTACTCAAGAGTGTGATAGGCAACAGGCTTTTAAGGGGCTGCCACAAAGAAAGGGGGGGGAATGTATTTTCCAAAGCACCAGGAGGCAAACAAGAAGCAATGGATGGAAACTGAACAAAGAGAGAAGCAACCTAAAACTAAGGAGAAGCTTTCTGACAGTGAGAACAATTAACCAGTGGACCTGCTTGTCCCCAGAAGTTCTGGATGATCAATCACTGGAAGTTTTTAACAAGACTGGACAGCCATTTCTCTGAAATGCTATAGGGTTCCCCCCAAGGTCCCTTCTAAGTGTTATTCTGACACCTTTCCCAGGACCTCTACTCAGAGTTTGGCATCCTCAGTTTTCCTGCCTGAGCAGGGGGTTGGACTAGAAGACCTCCAAGGTCCCTTTCAACTCTTGTTAAACACATGTGTATTTTATGCTCTGGACTATTGACACTGAATGCATGTAAACCCTGAAAAATATGTGGTAGCCCTGGGTAAAAGAAAGGCAGTAGAATCATTCTAGGTGTAGGTAAATATTAACATAAAATATTAACACATGATAAATAATGGAACAATTAAAAATAATAGCACAAGAGTTTTCTCTGTCTCTCTCTCCCTTCCTATTTTTTTTCTTTCCTTCTCTTTCTTTGTCTCTTTCTGTCTTTCTCTCCCTTTCTTTCTCTCTCTCTCACACACGCACCACACTCACTCTCTCCCCATTTTTCTTTCTTTCTTTCTCTTTCTTCCTCTTTCTTTCTCTCCCTCTTCTTTCTTTCTTTCTTTCTTTCTTTCTTTCTTTCTTTCTTTCTTTCTTTCTTTCTTTCTTTCTTTCTTTCTTTCTTTCTCTCTCTCTCTCTCTCTCTCTCTCTCTCTCTCTCTCTCTCTCTCTCTCTCTCTCTCTCTCTCTCTCACACACACACACACACACACACACACACACACACCTGTCAGCCTTCATTCCCTCTCATTCCAGGCACTTTACTCACAAGGGGAAGTGAATCCAGCATTAGAGAAGTTCTGCAGGTAAACAGACTTGCATTTGAAGCTCCTGCAAACTTCCCCATGGCTGGATTCCCCCCCCACCCCCTCGCTCCAGGCACTTTACCCACAAGGGGAAGCCATACTTCTACTGTCCATGAAGAATTCAGCCTTGGAACAGTTTTGTAGGTTAATGGACCACTGCTCCGCCCACAGTCATGTGTTTTCAAGTGGCTGCTTGAAAATGCATGGCTAGGGCGGGGAAGCAATCCTCCTTTAAACTGGGGCAGCGAGCATCGGGTGGGCGGGGCAAGCAAGTGAGCGGAAACTGGGTGACCGGGTTGGGTCGTGGCCAGCTAGATATTGCTACCAGTTCGGTGACCCACGCCAAATTCTTGCTACCGGTTCGCCCGAGTAGATGAGAACTGGCTGAATAGCACCTCTGAAAGGATAGGTAGTGAACACAGCAGTCTCATGATTGTTCTTGCCAATGGGGTGAGGAGAGGGTCCAGACTTTCTGAAAATGGTGAGCAGCCTGTGCCATCTCCCTGCCGTATCATGTCCTGGAAGTCACAGTCCTCTCCCTGATGCTCTGCTTAACAACCCATGTCATCTCTTAATGACCACATCTGAGGAATCTGAAATTGCAATCATTAAGCAGAGTGGTTATATTTAATTACCATTTCACTCAATGACCAAGATTTCAGGCCCAATTGTGGTGGTAAGTGGAGGCCTATTTGTGTACAATTTATATAAATATGGCATTATGAAATTCCAGTATAAAAACCTTTTTAAATATGCTGAAGCATAAGAACTCACACTTACAGCAACAATAAAAAACTAGTGCATGCTTTCTACCAATTAAAGCATGCAGTACTTTTTATCTTGAACAGTTTCTGAAACAGTATAATATTCCTAATTTTTATATTTTAAAAGCAGTTAAAATATTTGGCATGATATTGCAAGGGATTTTAAATATTAATTTATAAAGGCCTGGAAACCACAAGATAATGAAGATCAGCAGAAAGCATTTTTTTCTGAAGTGTGCAAACAGCATCTGCTGGAACTCAGGGCACAGTATCCTCCCCTCAGCATGACTGTGGGGTCCCACATCAAATTCAAGATCACATCTTGACTGGCTGCAACCTGTGGGTATATACCAGTCCATTATCTGATTTTTTTAAATATAAACAATGTTGTGCCTCAATGATTATATGGCCTAGACATTTTATTTAAACATGGATCTTTTTAACATTTGTATTTTATTGTGTTTTACTAATCTAGGTGAAATATTAATATATATTGCTAGTTCATATACAATATGCCATACGCTACATAAATAAATCCACTTTACTGATTTGAAAATTATACTGAGGGAAAAGCAACCTCGAGGTTTCAGACCTCTCAATATTCTTTGTTTTTTTATCATATTGGGTTTGCCTTTTAACAAAGGAATGATCGTATTCAGAGAACATAAAAGCTGCTGTGAAAAACTGATCATCTTGACCTGACACTTACTGTAATAAATATGGAGAGACAGAAGCAGGACTATGAGGCTATGGTTAAGAAGATGTTGTAAGGAGAGGCTTTTATAAACACAAAGCAACAGGCTAGCATGAAGAAATGATGGACTATGATTGTTATTCCAGTATAGCTAAACTAGGAGACGGGGAATCAAAAGCAACTTACATCCTGCTAATGTTTTGTAAGATGTCAGGAAAAAGAAGCACAAAATAGTTATTTTTGAAACATGGGTTTTAAATTTTATTGTAAAATTCTAATGTATACAATTAATACTTTTAATACATTTTTATTGCAAAGTTCAATAGATATATTTTGAATTTAACAGATGGAAGTAACTGGTACATTTATTTCTTATTAAACTCTAACCCCAATTAAAACATTAGTTTTATTCATGGTGAAGATTGCATAAATTAACTTACCATTTTAGGAGGTTACAGTATCAAAGAGTTTGAAAATTCCTGTATAACGGAACCAATTAGCCATAATTATGTTTATTCACAAAACTAGATGGATTTCATTGTGATATGATTGATAGAGATAAAAAATATTGACAATGTGTAATTCCATGCTTGTATTGGCAGTGCCACAAGTAGCACCAGCCTGAAAGGAGAGCTTACCAGTAAAAAATTGCCTTATGATCACCAAACTATGGAATTAACCCATCATTCCTCAGGACCACTATCTTCAGGTTCTTCTCGTGCATCCGCATCTTCTAAAAGAAGAGGAAGAAAAGAAAGTAAGAGCTTTTCAACTGCTTGTTTATTACAAAGATAAGTTTGCTACCTAGTTCACCAGTTCATCACAATATACATACATCAAAAAGACTTTCAGGCCAGTACCAATTACAGAGATTAATCTAAGTAAAATAGTAAGAAACCCTTAATTAGGTAATTTTATTATTTGGTTAAGAATCCTACCACATTTTATCTCAAAATAAAATTTTATCTCAAAATAAAATTGAGAGGTGATGGTGATTACTAAAATCATCATAAGCAATCAGAGGTTGGGTAAAATATATTGTTAAATTTTACTTTTTTATTTGTTGTTGCATGAAGACTTTTACTATGACTTGAACCATAATCTGGTACAAATACAGGTAGGCCCTCAACATAGGACAATTTGTTCCGCAATCTTTCAAAGTTATCATGATGTTGAACAAAGAGTCATATGATCCATGCCCAAAGCTATGGCTGTTGTAGCAGGCACATGACAGCTCACTTGTACTTAACAACTGCAAGGGTGTGCCAATTCCTCCCACTCACCTATCTCCACCCACTTGGCCTTTTTTGCCTCCATGCTACCCTGCACTTTACAGCCCCAACTGACCTTTTCTGCCATCTTCTTGCTTATGCTTCTAATGAAATATGTCTGGTCTAGTTTCCAGGCCATATGAGTCTGGCTTTGTGCTGCAAAAAAAAAAAAAAAGCAGGGGTGGGGGAAGCATAGAACAGCCCCTCTTTGAGGCAGAGTGCATCAAAGCATTCCTTTGTGCCATCTTCCTGCACCTGATGGGGCTGGCTTTGTGATGCCCCCCCCCCCCAAAAAAAAAAGCAAGCCAGCCCATACGGCCCAGGAGCATGGTGCAAAAGGATATTTTGGTATGCTCTGGCTCCTTCAGGCTGCTTTGTGTTTTTTTCCCTTTTGCACAAATCAGCCCCATATGTGCAACAGCTAGGCTGGGCACACCTCACCCTCAGCAAGAACAAGAAGATGGCAGCAGAGCACAAGGCGGCAAGGGTCTTGGAGTGCAGGGTAGCAAGAGCAACTGGGTCTGTTAAGGTTGCAGCTTCCTAGGGCATGGCAAGAAGCCCCAAAGCCACATAGTCCTGGGGCTGTTGGGCACTCCACAAACGGGTGCAGGAGTGCCAAAACTGCAAAGATTGGGGAAAGTAGATGGGAGGAGTCCCTTACCTTACTGAGGCTCAGGGTTGTGGAGGATCAAGCTCAGAATAGCTTGAATTTGGGTGAATTTTTGGCTAATGCCTGGTAAAATTTGCTTAATGATGGCCACAGGGATTACTGGCATTGTGGCCACTAAGCAATGTGATCTCAGATTGGCTTGCTTTACAATTACATTGCTTAGCAACTAAAATTTCAGTCTCAATTGCAGTCGTAAGTCAAAGACTACCTGTAAATATAGATAGTGGCATTATTTCTTTCAGACTTCCTCTTTCTTGCCAAATATTGTTGTTTCTCCCTAGCAATTATTCAAATCTAATCTCTTCGTCTCTCTGCTTAGTTTTTATTCTTGCATGGCATAAAATAGGTTAAATGTAGAATGATTAGTTCAAGATAATCAAGGAAATTTTATGAATGGGATTTAATGGGAGAATGGCATAACTCTCAGATACTGATATGTACTGTACCACCTTAGTTCCAGTTTAAAATATTATGATTTTTAATCTAAAAACATTCACTGAGTTTATCAGTTGGTGGGGGAATTCTTATTTTTTGTATTTATTTTTAAACATGGTTTTCTAAAATACGTTACAGAGACAGAATCATTAAATGGATTTCCAAATGACTCTCTCTGGGAAAAAAGCAAAGCATCCTTAGGATCAGACTATGGTTTGGAACAAGCAAAACACTTACTATCTAGTAACGCAGTGTCTAACAGAGAACAAGAAGTGAACCCAGATTCTGACAGTACTGCAGAGGAACTATCTGGTCACTCATTAAGGAGGTAAAATCCTATTGCCAACTCTGATTTTAAACTCTATAGCATAGTTTATAATTCAGGTAAAATATTGTAGTAGTACAACAGCATATTACTGTTATATTGGTATATTTTATTTATATATAAAGTAGGAATCAATGTTCTTGGAACATAACACATAATTTACATTTCCTTTCCTTTTGTCAGTTTTCAAAATGGTCACATAAGTTTAATGTGGATTAAGGGGCCGTGCTCTGAGTGTAGAATTCTGCATTTACTTGGTTGATTGATCAGTATTTACTCCCTTCTAATTAAAAACACTTTTGCAGTGTACAACATCCATCAATATAAATGATAAAACATCCACTGTAGATATCATAAAATAATATAAGAAATCTAACATAACCAATCCTTCAAAGATAATGTCAGCTCACACATCAAAGACTTTATGAAAATGATTCATTTTTAATAACTTACAAAAATACAAGAGGATTTTCAAAGTTTTTATTCTTTTTAGCATAAAAACATGTTGATTGTAGAGCTGGAAACAACAGTCAAATGTATTTGAAATATGTTTTCTCATTCTGTCCCAGTGTATGAAAATATATCCTACTGATGAAAAGGCACAAATTAAGTTTGCAATTTTTAATATCACTAGTTCTTCTTTAAATAGAAAATACTTTTAAGCTATAATTTTAAACTGCTGCTTTATGTTTTTAAAGGTAAATAGTTTTTCTAAATAATTTTTGTTTCTTTAGTCTCCCAGATAAAGTTAGATCACCAAGAACAATAAGCTCTCCTCAGTCTTCAAACATACAGAAAAAAATGGATCCTGTAGGAAATACAGCAGAAAAACTTAGATCTTTAAATTCTTCTAGAAACATAGCTTCTGGATCTAAGCTAAATCCTGACTTCTCTGACTTGGGTATTGGAAACAACAGGACTGGAGCCAATATTCCGAATGGTGAGCTGGCAAAGAATGGAAAAATTATGCTATATTTGATATATTTTGTGGTGATTTGAGCATATAAATGTCGTTGTTTCCTAAGTTGTGTACTGATTTTACAGGTTCCATGCGCTTCTCACCTGCTGGTCTCCAGCATCGTTTGTCTGCAGAACTTAACTACCTAAGCACTATTGAAGAGTCAGTACACCAACTCTCTGATATAGAACGTGTGCGAGGGATATCACTTGCACAGCAGGAAAGTGTTTCTCTGGCTCTAATATTAAAGGTAAGATTAATGAATCTGAAATCCCTTAAAATATTTAGTATGTATTTTCAGTTTTTTATCTCTTGGGAACTTCAGTTCTCAAACTTTTCACTCTATGTAAGAAAAGTTTCTATTAATAACTGTAAAAGTAACCATTATTTTTTCCTTCTATTGGCTTTGGCCCTCACTCTAAAGTATCTCTGTAGAGGATTAGAAGAGTTACAGTAGGGGTGGGAGAGTACCCAAGGTAGACATTCTGTAAAGCAACAATAATTCTGCGATCTTTATTCCAGTAATTGTGTATTTTTGAAATCTAATTTTCCTTTAAAAAAAGGTTATAGTTACAATTTTCAGTCATGCCTGGCATTCTAATTTAAAAGATATGTTAATTATATTTTCTGTTTTATCCTTGAGGACCAGGGATTGTTGTATACTGTGTTTTTTGTATTTTAATACATGTACAACCATCCAGAGTTACTATTGTGAGATGGGCAGCTATATAAATCCAATTAATTACATAGATTATTCATTATGAAATTGGTACTAAAATGTATTAAAGTAGGAGCAGATGCTGAAATATTAAAGCAAATTATTTTATAATTATTTCATTGTATTTTATAATTATAATTAAATATCTGATATATTTCAGCTACTAAATTAAAACCATTTAGAATTAAGTTAATGAGCCATTACTGTTTTTAAATAATGGAAAATTGTACAATCCTTTTGCATAATTCTATAAAAAGGAAGAATGTAAGTGAATAAATAATAAGTAAATTTTCACCTGTAGTCCCAGCAGCAGAGACATGAGAGGGACTTGGCTCTTCTAAAGCTCAAGGCAGAGCAAGAAATGTTGGAAAATCAAAGGAATCTGGAAGAGGCAAAACAAAAAGCAGCTCAGGTAATGAAGCATTTTAAACTTCATTACGCTTGAAAAAAACAAAACAAAAATAGAAACCTTTTCCACAGAGAAATGGCTGGTGATAGCAATGAATGGTAGTTAAAAATGATAGGCAGTATATTGATATATTGAAACATTGTGTTAGTGATGTGACACATTAGTGATTAGCAAAAGCATTTCTTCACAAAGTGGTGTATTTTGCCAGTATTTCTCTAAATTATTAGAACTTCCCTTGTTCAAGAATCAGGGTTGCAGCGTGATGGTTTTATTTGTTTTTGAACCACTTACAGCTTAGAACCAACATACTTAAAGAACATTCATAATACTTCATTTATAGAACTGTGATTTAAAATTACATTTCCTATCAGTAACATGAAATAATTTTTGTTATTAAGGAAATAATCCCTCCCCTAAGTCAATTAGAATGAATTTCATGTTCATGTTAAGGTCAAAGCACAGCTACACTTTTAATAAAAGTAAATAGATTTCAAAACCAAACTTGTATCTCCATGTATAGGCCCATGCAGAATCATTACATCAGTTGGCACAATCACATCAGGAGGCAGCTGAGACTCTACAGGACACCACATCTAAGATTGCAACTCATCAGCTGGAGACAGCCCTGTTGACTGCAGATACTGCTCGTCAGATACGTGAAGTGAGTTCTTTTCTGTTGCTTCTTAGCGCATAAGTTCATTGATACATTTGAAAAATGTATTTTGCTCTGCTTTTTATTAGATGACAGAACGTGCACGTTTCCAGATCTCTGATGCAGTTGGTACTACTGCAGCTCCAGTTACCACATTATTTGACCAAGAATGGAAGCAGGGTTCAGCTTCCTTAAAGCGATTAAAACTTCACAATATGAACAGGTATTTTATGTAGAAATTTAATTTGAGGCTGTAATATTTTTAATGAAGGTACTTCAATAAGGAAAACGTGTCAAAGCATCTGTAAATAGTAGATTTCCCTGATAATTCCATTGATTTGTTTATTATAGGTCTGTAGGAAAATGTCAGTCATAGAAAGTTGCCACTTCACTATGTAATTTTGTTTTCATAAATTTGCCTCAGGTGTGTAGGGAAGGGATAACCACAGATGAAGCATTGTCAATATGTAGATGGTACTAAAGTACAGTTTGATTTATAGGAGCATACTTGCCTCCCCCTCCTCCCTCCAAATGCTGGTTTTGAAAGAAAAAGCCTTTTAGTTTTTCCAACCAATTTAGATCTGTTTCACAGCGCTCTGGCATAAAACTTACTTCTCCTATCAAGTACCTCACCTGTTGTGAGAAAATAGTAGCACAGAACGATGCGCTTAGAGCTTTGCTAGTTTAGGAATCCTCTCTTGTTTTTCTATACTTGCTAGAAAGAGGAACAATAAAAGCTGATTCTTGTACAGATATACTGTGTTGGAAATTACCAGGGGTAGGTTTCAATTTTTTTAACAACCGGTTCTGTGGGTGCGGCTTAGTTGGTGGGCGTGGCTTGCTGGTCATGTGACTGGGTGGGTGTGGCCATCTCAACGTCACTCACATGAAGGGGTGCTTCTCCTAGCCTGGCCTCTCATGACAGTGGGGATGCTGCAATGGTTGTAAGTGTGAAAAATGGTCATAAGTCACTTTTTTCAGTGAAATTGTAACTTTGAATGGTCACCAGTTTCAGACCAAAACTCAAAAATAGTATGTAAACTCACGTTTGAATGTCAATCTTTCTAGCTAGCCAAGAAGCCTTGCTGAATGTCACTCATCTTGGTTCCTTGTCATTAAAAGCTTTTTTTCTGGCAGCTCTGCTTCATTATTCAATTATTTCTTCAAAGTGCTAACTCCAATGGGAGTATTTCCTCCCAACAGTGGGTAAAAAGCTTAAAACAACCTTTCCCCTTTAAGAAAGTACCAGCAAAGGAAAAAAAAAACCTCCTTCTGAGACATTAAGTCTAGGCATACTGCCAAGAATGTAAGAAGGGTGGAAAAAAAACAAAAGGAGATTTCTTCCAACAACTGCTTAGAAAGTTAACAAGTGGTTCTAGCGAATAGGTGAAAACCTGTAGAATCCCGCCCCTGGAAATTACCATTTATTTAACTTTAATATATTGCATTTGTATTCAGTTATTTCTCAGGCAACTGTAAATGCTGCTGTGATTTTTAAAACAATTCAAACTTTCCTGTTTCCTTTAATAGAAAAGCAGATTCAATCAGCACACCATCAGGTAGAGAGGAGACAAATGACTCAAAGCATCATTGTTTGCATGCATTTGATAGCTATTCAGAATCATCAAGATCAAAGGCACATGATCAGAGGTGAGACACAAGATTTATAATCACTATCTATCAAGTATAAATTCAACCAAGAAGGTTTGGTTTAATTCAGGAAATGATGGCTAGGTTGAGGTTTTCTTTCTCTCAAACAGTATTTTCAGTCATCTGTATCTCTTTTTGTGAATCCAAACTAGCTCAAAGTATTCTTAAACCAATTGTTATATTTATAAATAATAACCCTAACAATTCATTAAATTTATGGGGCTGTCAAATCAAAAGAGTCGAGGCAGTATACAGAGTTTAAAAATAATACGTAAATAGAAATACTAGCTAATTGGGGGAATACATTTCTGAAAAATAGTATGCAGAAATTTTTGAGGACCTTTTTCCTGGGACCTGCCAAATAAAATTCCGTAGCAGTTAGGCTCATAGCATGCCTTCTGTGCCAGATCTTATGGGATAGGCAGATGTAATTGTGAAGAGGTTTCCTCTCAGATAACTTGGTCCCATGCCATGAAGGGCTTTAAAGGTAAAAAGCAGTACCTTGAATTGGAGCCAGAAACAAACTGGTAACCAATGCAGCTTGTGGAGCACAGATGTCATGTGTTCCACTCTAGGGGCACGCACACAACTGCCCATGCTGCTGCATTCTTCATTAGTTGAATTTTCCAGATAGTTTTCAAGGACAACATCCCCATATAGAATACATTGCAGAAACCCAAAGGAGAGGTGACTAGCACATGAGGGACTATAAACAGAGCAATTGCATGAAGCTGTGTAAATTCATTCTGTGCCTTACATCAGTATTAATTCAGGACTCCTATATGCCTTTTTATAATGCAGTAGTAGCAGCAGTCGGCAGGAAAGTCCATCTTCTAAGGAAACCAAGAAACTTTCTCATCGTGAAAAACCAAGCAGTTCCATTGAGGAGGAAGCTCCCACAGCAATCAATGATTCACTGCAGAATATCAGTATCCCATCTATTCATGACGAGAGAGGTTAGTTTTCAGATCAATATTTAACCAAAGCAATGCTCGTTCAATTTTTGCTTCGTAGTTGTGTTCTTTCCACTGCTATGTCAATGATTTTGCTCAAGGGTCTTCCAACTTGGCAAGCTTAAGACTTGTGGACTTCAACTCCCCGAATTCCAGAGCTAACATGACTGGGGGAAAAATTATGGGAGTTGAAGTCCATACATCTTAAAGCTGTCAAGTTTGAAGACCCCTGGTTTTGCTGATGAGTTACATGGTAATAATATAAAAATAATTCCCTACCCATTTCCTACCCATCACCATCCTGATTTCTTTATATGTTTGTTTTTGAGTAACCATCTGTTGGACTCTGCAGAACTTGCAGTCTGATAGTATCATTGCCAAACTGTCCCTGGCTTGCTGTTGCTTTCATCCTCCTTATTCTTAGCACTACTGGCTGAATAACTGTCCCCCTTCTTCTTGTGCTAGTTATCATTTTTAAGAAAAAAGAAAGGTAAATTTAATCTCTACAATCATACATGCATGTTCAGAATTCTTTTGGTTGCTTTCTCTGGTATATCCAAGAAATTGGATTCTTGGAAATGAGGTTGGGGTGGGAAACAGGTATATTACAACCAGTGTACTTAGTTTTCAGTAGATTCCAGTAAGAGCTATTATTGAGGAATAGAAAAGTTATTTTCTTACCCCAAGGCATACAAGCTGAAAAAGGGCAAAGTTAGTTCATAGCCTGATTTTTTTTCTGTCTTCCTTTCTAAGAAGAAAAAGTATTTTGGAAAGAGGTTTCCTAACTTTGAATGTTCTGACACCTTTTGGCAGGACATTTATTTATATATTTATGTACTAGAATTGAATGCACCCTTTAGGAGAAAATGATTCAGCACAATGTCTTTTTAAGAAACTATAGTTTTTTTTCTGATTGGTTCAGCTGCTTTGAAAGTTGTTCCAATATCTTCAAAGGCTTCTGTAGATACAAGCAAGATAAATGGTAGTAGCTGCTAGAGAGCCAAGAAACATTGCAGCAGCTTTAATGGTTTGAAAAGAGTTACTAGGGGTTAGGGTTGGGGTTGGGTTACAGCCACTTGTTCAGTGATCATTCATAGTTATGAGGATGCTGAAGAAGAGGGACTTAGAATTGATCCTTGGAGTTCCAGCCTTTGCAATGTGCTCACAACCATGTTGTTGCAATCCGGGTTCTTGGGTGGGTGGCTTGCGTTTACAATGTTGCTGCAAAGTGTGATCAATATGCAAAGTCAGTGGGAAAGCCAGCAGAAAGTTTTCTTTTTTAACAAAACAAGTTTTATTCAAAGCAGAAAGTTTTCAAGTTGCTCCTAAAAGTTGTTGCCCCCACTTTTTTTCTAAAGTGCCCCACTACAGAGTACGAGAGCCCCTGCTGTCCTACCTGCCCATACTCAGTAGTGCCCATTTATAGTCCAATAACACCAATAGCACCCACCCACAGCACCCCGCACCTTCTAACAGCTCTCATCTCCTCAGCTTGCTTGCCTAGGACATCTGCGGTCCTCTCTTAACAACCTAGGGGATCTCTGGGTTACAAGAACCAGGTCTGCTGGGTTTGTTGTTGCTAAGCAATGAGGTTAGGTGATATCACGCTTTACAACCCACATCGCTTGCAAATGGAGCATCTCATTCCAGTTAAGTTGGTACTTCAAGGGCTACCTTGAATCTTCCCAAAACATGTCTCTCAAAGAGTTTACACAGCTCTATTATGTAATAGTTCATAGTCTGTGTATATGTTTATTGTTTTCTTAATAAGGTCAGGAATTTTGATAGTTAGGCACATCTATATTTCTGTCCATTCAGTCAGTATTTACTCATTCTATATTTGCAACATAATCTTATTTTGTAGCATTTTTTGTTCTGTAATGAATTCCTTATTTTTTCCCCTTATATTGTATCTGTTCAGATTCCACTTCTGTTGCCACAGAATATTCCCTGAAATTTGATGAGTCTATGACAGAAGATGAGATTGAAGAACAATCATTCCGGTCTTTGTTGCCTTCTGAGAGCCACCGTCGGATCAATCTGAAGAAACGAAATCACCAAATTTATTCTGATGAGGAGGCTTCTCCTGGAAAGTCACCTATTAAGGCAAGATTTCAGTAGGCTGGAGCTATTCATTTTTTGGAATCTTAAAAATTTTAATAGGCCTGTTTTCCATTTGCCAATTGTTTGTGTGGGAATTTATTAATGCGTGTTTTAGTTGTTTTAGCTGTTTTAAATTTGTTACACATTATACAGTATATGTGTAACTGCTCTTAGAAGAACATTTGTCAGAAAAAGTGAAACAATCAACAGAAATAAATACATAGGTCTGTCCCCTAGTTGCTTTCTGAAGGTGACATTATCTGACATTCTTTTCATTAATCTGACTACTGGGTGGCCATGTAAATATCTGCAGAAGTTCATCATTAAGTTGACTGCTAAAGATTCAACATTTTGCAAAAGTTGTAGTTTTCTAAGCAGTGGGTTGGACTAGAAAACCTCCAAGTTCCCTTCCAACTGTGTTATTCTATTCTTCCCATAAGTCTTTTCATGGAGAATAAATATAATGATCTTGAATGCAGAGGGAATAGTTCAATAAATAATAGGCATAATTAATGAAGATTGTTTTAAAAAATGAGTATCGGTGAGGTGGATTTATATAGAGATTTCTGGAAGTTTGATCTATGAATGGCTGCCAATAGTAATAGCTGTATTAAAACCTAATTTAGATGCATCATTTTGCCAAATAAAATTTGTTGAATTAATAATTTTAGTAAGACATTTTATAAAGACAGAATTACAGGAGACCAGTTTCTGCTCATTGCCTTCCCAGAAAGCCTGTGTCAGATTTTATTGTAAATATGCAACACATATGAATTAATAGTGGGATTCTTCCCAGGTGCCCTGGGAGAGATAATAGATACTGGAATGAATACCTTTGCACCTAGAAAATCATGTTTCCCTGTCCTCTTCCACCTCAACTGCAACTTTGTTAATGCTCTTGTCTGTTATTCTGTTGCTGCTTGTCTCAAGTCTCACATATAAATTTATTAAATGAATAAATGAACATACCTTATACATAAAATATTCATTTATCTGCACTGTAGAAAACAGTATTTCTTTATAGCAACAGTGGAAATCTGGTAACGATTAGTATAAAACTGCATCAACAGTTTGGAACGTCAACAGTTTGCCCCAGTAAAGAGATTGTGAATTATAGGAAAAACATTTTTTATTTAATTTTTTCATCAGGAGCTGAACCTGCCATTTTCAGCAGGGCAAGACAGTTTTTCTAAATTTACAATGGAAATGGTACGGCAGTACATGAGAGAAGAAGAAATGAGAGCTGCTCACCAATCTTCACTGCTCCGATTACGTGAAAAGGCACTTAAAGAGAAGACTAAGGCTGAACTAGCTTGGCTAGAACACCAGAAACGGTAAAGCTGGAAACCCCACAATGTATAACATAGCCAAGAGTTTTGCCCATTCTCAGGATTTTAGGCTTTTTTGATTTATATTAAATTCTTATTACAAATGTTTCATGAATGCCATGAAAGAGGTAGCAAGCAAAGGAGAGTTCTTTGTAATTTTAATATGATCATGATGTCTTTAATTTTGTTTGGTTTGTACTCCTACCCATCCCCATCTTTGTATTTATGACTTTATACATTACATCATAATGAGGTTATTTTCTTAAATGAAATCTTTTTTTAAAAGATCATTCAAATGCAGTTTTGCTTCTTCAATTACTTATACTTTTCCTATAATATATGAAACAAACATAATGTTAAAAAGTTACGATATTTGTGTAATTACTTACCAAGCACATCTAACCAAAATATTTTTACAATCCCCAAGTCATGTCACAACTTTTGATCACCCCTAATGTTTAGAAATTGAAAGTATTTGGCATGCCCTAAAAATAGTATCATATATTTAATTATCTCACCCACTTCACATCTGTTTTTAAAAAAAAAATTGAATAGCTTCCAAATTTCCTTATGCATTTGCTGACATGGAGATAAAACTCCTGTGTTTTATCAATAGCGTAAAACTATAACGAAAAGCAAAAGGTCCCCAAAAATGAGGGCAAATAATTCAATACAGAAGTGGAAGAAATTTTTTTGCTACTTATTTTTAGACATTTACGAGATAAAGGAGAAGATGATAAAATGCCACCTATCCGGAAAAAACAACGTGGCCTGCTTCTTAAACTTCAGCAAGAGAAGGTAAACACTATTTTTACGTTTAATGTTTTGAACCAACAGTCACCAACCAGTGGGCCGCGAGAAAATTCTGGTGGGCCGCAGAGAAATCTCACCCCCAGAGCATCCCCCGAAAGCAATTAATCCAGGCTGCGCAGAAACACAAGGCTGCGCAGAAACACAAGGCTGCGCCGCCCACATGGCCCGCGGGAATCCTCCCCGCCCACTCACTCCTTACCCAGCAAACCTGCCTGCTAAAATTTTCCTTTTTCCGACCATCATCTGTTCTGTGCCAGGAGATATAGATTAGTTAGGAAGCAGGAAGTGGTTGGATTTCTTGCTTTCTAGCTAGTCTTTAGATCTTTGGCTCTGCTTTTAAGTACAGCCGAACTTCCCTTAGGACTGAAGGTTTGCTTGCAAGCAAATTCAGTGCAGACTCACGGCAAGCAAATTTGAGAGACTGAGCTAGCCAATGGCAGATAGATAGATCACTGAATGATTCTGTGAGCAACTCAGTCTGCCAGCATTGCCTGATTTTGGGTAAAAGTTGCTCTTTTTTTAAATAAAAAAATCAATATTTACATGCATTGTGTGTTGTGAGTTAATTTTTTGAGTTTGCTTGCTAGCAAATTTTATGAGTTTGCTTGCAAGCAAATTTTATGTGACAGACTGATCTAGCCAATGGCAGATAGATCTCTGAATGAATCTGTGATTCTGTGAGCAACTCAATCTGCCTGCCTGCTTTGCCTGATTTTGGGTAAGAGTAGCTCTTTTTTATAAAAAAAATTCAATATTTATATAAATATTTATAATATTTACATACAAGCCATGCTCAGCCAGTCACATGACCACCAAACCACACCCACAAATTAGGCCATGCCCACGGAACCAGTTAGTGGTCCCTGGGATCTAAAATTATGCGTTTGGTGGTTCCTGTGGTCCAAAAGGTTGGCAACCCCTGCTTTGAACTGCCTCATAGGTGGGAGTACCTGGATAGTCTTGCTATTCTTAGAAGGTAAATGGGACTGGCCATTGTTAGAACTTGGACAGAGGATCTCCCAAGAATTCCAGAGATGTAGACTAGATTGGATAGGAAACAAATCCCTTCAAAGCACTTTTTTCATCCTGTCAAGAAATTAGAATAGATGCTCTCACCAAGAGCTGGAGTTCACATGATTGTATTTTTACTTTGAGGTAGTTCTGACTCAGTTAATTCTTAAACAGGTTGTTAATTGGGTATGCAAATATTCTGAAAGTCATAATATTTAAAGTCATAATTAGTGCAACTATCAGTACAAATAACGGGTTTATTAAGATTTACAATAGATTTATTGGGGGTGGGGTTGACCTAATGTTGATCCAAAATACTACCTTATCTTGTGTTTTATTTAGTGTATCGACATATAAAACAATGATTGCCAAGAGGCTGGTTCTGGGATACTTGGAGTAACTTGTAATAGTTTGTACTAATGTCATATGTATTTATTTAAATAAATATTAATGTCAGTAGACCTTAATTAATAATTTGAATTGACATTTATGTGAATACATAACATATTTTCTCTTACTTAAATTTACTATGTAGGATGATATACAGTACTGGCTGTAGGCCATTTATTATAAAATAAATAGTGAGAAAATGTCAATTTTGATCCATAAAGTGCCAGTTTTGATAGAATAATTGAGCAAGTATTATTCTAAAAGTGAAGGCTATGTGCTGTGGCAACCCAAAATTAAATTATTATATGAACTGTAAATTATTATATGAACAACCATATGAAATCACAACTGCCCATTCTTTAGCTAGTATTGACCTTCATGTTCATTGAATTCTTCCCAAGAACCTAGAATATCATAATATATCAAAGTACAGTATGTGCAGATTCAACTAGTGTGGCCTTTTGTAACTGTAGCTGGAAATGTTGTCAATATACCTCCAAGATTTTTTGCTTCAGCACCCAACATGTTAATAACCATTGGGACCATCAGGGCTGGTTTTTTCCATAATCTTTCAACTTCGGTTTTCGGATTAGGATGCTTTATGATCTTCTCCAGTTCTTTGTCTTCTGTTCCCCCTAATATTGCCACATCAGTTGTCCATATTTTATTCTTTTCAACCACAGTTAAATTTATGTGTTATGTGCCTTTGGACTTTATTCATTTATATTTGGAGATCCCACAATATTTTAATCTACTCATTTTTTACTACTATTTTCAGCTATATATTCCAATCAGTTTTTCATTTTTACAGATGTTCCAGTGAATCATTTTGGTGACTGTGTTATGTCATTGTTTATAATTAGTTTATGTGATCTTCTTACACATAAACTGAGTATATGATCTACATTTTTAACAGAATAACAAGGTTGGAAGGGACTTTAGAGTTCTTCTGGCCCTGCTTGGGAAGGAAGTCCTATATCATTACAGACAATTATTTTCTGCCTCTTTGCACAATTTGCACTTTGAATCATTTGATCATTTTTCAGTTCTACCTTTGATTGCATTAGCTTGCTCTTGAGCAGCCAAAATCAAGAGCTCAGTTCTGTTTTTTTAATGTTCCAGTGATAAGCCTTTGCCAGGTTTTATCTTTATCTACTTTGCCCTCAAGTCTTTGTAGAAATTAAGCATGTAATTAAGCTTTAAGCTTTTCCTTGCCAGCATTCAGAATGTATATAATTGCATTATTTCAACAGTCACATTTTGTTTCTGTAAGTTTTTTACTTGCATCAATCCTTGTTCTGGGCTGTGTTTTACTTAATCAGCCAATGCAAGCTTTTTTTTTCTTTGACAGTATATTTGACTTGAAATGAACCTCTGCCTCCACTTCTACAAGGCAGATATAATCTATCAATATCACTAGAAGAATGTCATGCATAGTGAATAGTCACATGGCTTTTTTTTCTTCAATCCAAATTGTCCAGATGAGCTTATATCCAGTTAATAACTCCAACAGTTATTAATGTGCAGATATTGATGGCTTTGATGGTGTTTCAACTGTTTAATTGTGTCTGGCAATTTTCTCACTCTTTGGACGTATTCTTTACTAATTGCATTTTTAACTTACCCATACTTCAAGTTATCCAACTATAAAATGCCCAGATACTTGTAGGCTGCTTATATTTCTATTATGTTTAGTTTCATAATCAGCCTGATGTTTAGATTGGCTTTGGCATTTTGATTCACTTGCTGAGTCCTTTCCAAGGACCCTGGGTTAGAGAGATTTTGTTCTTTGATGGTGTTAAAAGTATGGTCGCAAGATATAAGCTTTTTGCAATTGACTGATGGTGATGTTATCAGTGCTGATGGTGTTCAAATTGTGCTCCAGATGTCCTGGGATTGCACCCAAGGCACCTATTGGTGCTATTTTTGCTTTCCATTGCCACAGTTCTTCTACTTCTATTTTCAGGTCTTTATACTTTGTGATTTTCTCTAGGTCTTTCTCTTCTCTTCTGCTGTCTCCAAGTACTCATTGTCCACTATCCAGACTTTTCTTTTTGTCTTGTCTTATTGAAATTGTTACGTCTGGGTGTTATGTGGCAGGTGTTTGTCTGTTTGAAGTCTGAAATCCCAGAGTACTTTAACTTCTTCATTTTCTTTTACTTGGTCTATTTTGTGGCCCCACTAGTCCTTGCTTGTGGGCAAACTGTATTTCTTGCAGCTATTTCAGTGCATCTTCCATTCTTGCTGCTTCGTCACGCTATTGTTGGTAGTCAGTCTCTATGGTCTTCTTGCAGTAGTTAACTAGTGCTGAGAAGCAGGAAGCAGAGCACAGGGTGCCTCAGGGTGGGGAGGCTGCAACATGCACTTCATTTCTACCCATGCTCCTATCTCTCCATCTCTCTCTCCTTTCCTTTTGGCTGCCTTGCACTTCAGTACATACCCCTGCTATCCCCAGCTGATTTTTGCCATCTTCCTCCTGCTGCTGATGAAATGCACCCAGACCCTGCTCATTTTTCATGCACGGCCTTCATGTAAGTGGTTACAGAGTGCAAGAAAGACCAGAAAGGCAGAGATGGGAGAGAGATAAGTGGGAACTGAAGTAGAGGTGTGCAAGAGAAGTATGAGGTACTAACCTCATGACTGTGTAGTCCTGATCACAACCAGAACTATTGATACTGCCATTCCTAAGTGATGCAGAAAGATGATCTTCCACCTAATGACGGCTTTGCTTAGCAATGGAGTCATTTGTGGCTAGTCACCTGTCCAAGAATATTAGCGCAAAGGTAGGGAACATTTCAGTCTTTGTGCCAAATCATACATTTACACCCACAAAACAGGACAAATTATTTTATAGAAAGCAAACAGATAATACTCAGATACAGAAAAAAATATAGGGAATATTATTCCCCACCTCAACACTAATCATAACTACCACAGGGATGTGAAGGAAAGTTCTTAATTAACCTTTTTTTAAAAAGCCACACAGGAAAATTGCCCTTTGCAAGGGAATTTCCTGAAGCAAACTGCTACTACTATTTGGTGGCAAACAGGCTTCAGTAGATGTTGTGCCTGCTCACAAGCTTTGGATCTGAAGTAAACAAACAAGAAAATTGAAAATCAGAGATTAAAGAAAATTGAAAGCTGAGGATTCTGAATTTTAATTTTAAGAAATTAATGAATTTCTGTTGCTATAACATGTCATAGGAAAACAGTTTTAAAAATAACATCAGCAAAGATAGTGATACACAGAATTCAGAAAACAGAATAAAGAGGGAGAAATCAAATTCATAGTAAGTTCTAAATAGTGTGTAAGAGAAATTGGTATGGGAAAAGCGAGAGAATATTTTCATTTTTAGAAAGAAGGTTACAGATAGAAGTAAAAACAAAATTAATAAAATGACAGTATATAAAGTAGAAGGAGAGAGTGGAGAGTTCTTTGGGGATTTGGATAAACTTCTAATAAACTTGGGATAAAAGCAACAAGCAGAAAATTGTAAAGTGTGGCACATGAAAAACTAAGGATATTTAACAGGTAAACTGGTGAGGAAATAACAGCTCATTTTTTTTGTTATTGTTTTATCCTGTTCCCTATAAAGGCAGAAATTAAGCGCCTTCAGGAAGCTAATAAGGCAGCACGGAAAGAAAGGCAACTTATTCTTAAACAGCAGGAAGAAATTGAACGAATACGCCAAACCACTATTAAATTACAGGAAAAACTCAAGTCTGCAGGAGAAAGCAAGGTGATAAGTTAGAATGCAATTAATATGCTTATTTTATTCATCCAGTTGACTTTGTCAAATGAAACAACATTTCATTTGAAGAATAAAATTTGTGACATTCTTAAGATACAAAGAATAAATGAACTTCATTTTTCTTAATGTAGCAATTGTAGCTGTAATAATCTTAGATTTGGGGATAATCTTAATGTTGGTTGTATTGTGTGTATAATTGATACAAGAAACCTAATTATGAAAGTGATATGACATCATCATTTTCAATCTACATATGTATTTTGGTTACCAGCAAATTTTATTTTTTAAAAAGCTATTCCCTTCTAAGATTTTAGAAGTTAAAATTTCTGTTTTTCAAAAAATACAATATAAAATATAAGTGGCCATTTATTAAGGGCCATTTATTCAATGGCTGTTCAAACTTGCAGTACTGCTGAAAGTGTGGTACTTAGGACTGATGTTTGACGTTCCACCTGTCACAGTGTCTCTGCCATCACATGACTGCAGTGAGCAACGGGCCCAGATTGCTGACCATTGCATGTTCATATTATTGTGACATTTACTGCCAGCTTCCCCCTGCCAAAATTAGTGGGGAAGCTGGTAGAAAGACGGAGCTTTCAGTTATATGAGGTTCCCATTTAATGACCCACATAGTCATTATTTAACAATGATAAAAGATACTTTCAGAACTATTGTTGCTAAGGAGCATGATCATTTGACATTGTACTTTATGATCACATTGCCTGGCAATAAAAATTTCAGTCCCAATTACTGTGGTTAAATGAGGATTAGTTATAAAGAAAATTCGAAAACAAAGTATATCAGACTTTGTCCCATGGAGTCTGCATTGAAAGTTAATCTAGGGAACAAGAATCAAAAACCTCTGGTTTAATAGTATTTATAAAAAGTTACAGTTCTCGGTTTCCTATCTTGATAACTCTCAACCTTTTTATTAGCATTAGAAATAACTCTTCTGCAGAAATCTGAAGAAAATTTACATTGCCTCATTTGAACACGTGGCAAATATAAAAACTAGTACAGTGTTCATCTGACAAGTGATTTCTATTTGTTTCTTTGTTTTAGGAACACCGCACTGAAGATGATAAAAAGCAAACACATTGCTCAAGTCCTCAGCCAACTGACGCAGAGGCCTATAGCCCTTCCTCCATTTCCAGTTCTGAGACAAGTAGTATCATGCAGAAATTAAAGAAAATGCGGAGTCGAATGGATGAGAAGTAATTTGTATTTTTATTCCTAATAGAAATGGCTTCCAACAGCTATTGTGGAATTTCAGCTTAGTCTTAATGGTGGTTTGGTAGCTTGAATATATTAACAAATTGAATATCCAGACTGCCTTTCCATCATGAATAGGTGTGAAAAAGTAATGTTCCTGATACCTGAAATAATGTTAACTGGTAATGGTAGAAAATGAACGTGGGGCTTTCTGCAGGCAAAGCATATGTACTATCATTGAATCTATGTATGTGCCCTTTCTTGTAACTGGTGCAGCAGCTAGACAGGAATTTTATACACACAATTTTATTACTTTAATGCAGAATGCTTGCCTTAATGTAATGTTTGTATATAGCTTTTTAAAAAGTTGCTTTTCTTTTTGAATTATCTTCAATCAAAATATATTCTTATGCCTGAAAATTTGACTTCATCAGGAGAAAAATGGATTCCTATTATAGAATATTGGACTTTGAAGCTGTATATTGAGCTAAATTTTCCCAATTTTGGGGGGGGAAATGGTTTTTGTAGTAATAAGCATCTCTCCATAGTAAAAAATGCACAACTAATATTTCCTTCACAACAAAAGAAAAATGTAACACTGTGTGAGATAGCTATTAAATGTAATAGTGAAAGATTCAATCATAAAACACACAAAAAAATCATTTATTGCATGGTATTTTATAATACATATAGGACTTTCGTATATATTTCTGTGTTTCAATAGTAGAATTCAAATTGTTATCAATTTTTCACAATCCTTCAAGAAACTATTTTGAAAACACGAAAATTCTATGACTTTCGTAATATCTTAAGAGCTTGGGACTTAGTCACAATTTAAGTATCTCAGTTTATAATAGAAGAAAAATAATATGGTGGTAAAAGTAATCTCTCTAGTTTTTAAGATTATGGAAGGACAGCAGTTACCCTCTGCTTGTTAAAAGAAATGTATTGCCAGTATTTCAATTTAGCAAAGCTTTTGAACATGCATTTAGTGAGGATAGAGAGCAAGATACAGTTATAAATACTAAGTAATGCAGAATTAGGTAGGATATTATATTAGTTTGGGAAGAATATATAAAAAATTAGCATAGCTTTTAAAAAATATTAAATAGTGAGGATGAATTGAATAATGATTCCTCCAATAAGATTTTGACTAATAGAGATTCTGGGGAGTACCATAATTGATCTTTGGATAATGAAGACAAAAAGGCTATTGAACAGTTTGCATGTGGATAGGAGCATGCTGTGTCAAAGAATTAATCTCTTTTGATATTAGTTTTGATGTTATCTTTGTAAATTCTTAACTGACTTTCGCTAGCAGAGGCTTCTGTGCTCTAAAAACTTTTTTGGTTATTTGTTTTCCTAAATTTTTGCTATTTTCTGGTTAGGCATTTAATAAAATGCTGTTTGCTACAAAGCAATATATGAAAATGGAAGCAAAATGACAGCTTATAAACTCAAGTTTACATAAAGATTTGGGCCTTTTAAAAACTAAGCAATCTTACGAGCTAAAACTGTTTTTGTTTGATTTTTGGATTTTGTTCGTTGAGCTTACAATAGTTGAACACAGGCTCATTCCAAAATTGGTAAAATGAGGACCCAGATTGTTGGAGGCAATATACTGACTCTGTAAACCGCTTAGAGAGGGCTGTAAAAACGCTGTGAAGCAGTCAGTATATGTCTAAGTGTTGCTACTATTGATATAAATACAATAAATACAACACAACATGAAAACTTGGCGTAATTAATTAAACTAGTGTAATAAGCTTTTTAAAATGCACTATTAAATAAATAATTGGAATTGCCCTTAAATGTAGTTCTTTAAGCAACTGGAGAATTATCTATAGCATTATACCATAATAAAGTAGAGTTGATAGTATAAGAAACAGGAACCAATTGGAACAAGAATTTAAGTGATGCTTATTTTCTGTTGCAGTTTGAAAGAGTCTACTTGTTGATGGATGATGATGTTTGACACTTGAGATTCATTTAAAACTCTGCTAGACCTTTTCCTGCTCTTGCTTTCTGTCTGTTTCTGTTGCTATCGGCTTAAAACTCTTCCTCCTTATTTTGTAGACACTGCTCTCCTGTTCACTACTTCTTCTCTGTCTTTACGTCTCACCACTGGGCTTCTCTCAGTGTCTGTTTTCCCAACCTCCATCCCAAATTCCAGCTGTATATCTACAACCAATTGGTCAGGTAACTTTCTACCTTTTTCAATGGTAGATTCTTTGATTGAGCATGCCCTGTTCAATTTGAAATGATTAGGAGTTCTTTTAGAACTCTTTCTCCCCTGTATAAAGTTAGGGATTTCTGCATAAATAGCTGACAATCTCTAACCAGTTAAATAGAGCAACAAAGATGATAATGGATTTGGAGGCTAAATCATACAATGAACAGCTAGCTTAATTAAGAGAAGAATCTGGGAAGACATGATAGCAGTCTTCCAATACTTGAAGGGTTGTCACAGAGAATAGGGCATCAATTCATTATCCATAGTACCTGAGAGCAGGACAAGAAACAATGGGTGGGTGCTTGTCAGAGGGAGGCTCAACCTGGAAATGAGGAGGAACTTCTTAACAGTAACAATTTGCTCCCTGGAGTTGTAGGTGCTACATCATTGAAATTTTCAAGAAAAGTTTTAGACAACCATTTGTCCAGAATAGTATATAGATTCCTCCTGTCCTAGGCAGGGGGTTGAATGTGGAGACCTCCAAAGTTTCTTCTAGTCTTATGGTAGTGTGATTCTATGATCATGCACAAAACAGTTTTGGAAAAGTGAACTTTAGACAAAGGACTTGAAAATTAATTTGCCTTTTAGGGTCCTATTTGTTAGGAAAATCTGTTTTGATTGCTTTAACTACGTGCAGCACAAAATTATACAATTGCATCTTTCATCTTTTAAATTGGTTTTTTAAAAATTGGCTTTGTACGAGGCCATAACAGTAGAAATTCATCTTTCCCAAGAATTCAAATCCATAGAAATGAATTCAGGTCAGAATTCAGAATATTTTTGTTGTTGTTTTCAGTAATTGAGTAATAATTAATTCAGTAATAACTTGGAGTGTTTTCATGAGTTCGTATGATATAAGAAATAGAGAAGAGAATAGAGAGAAAATTGTTAGCTTAGTGTGGAAGAAAAGGCTAGAACTACATAGATTTTGAACCTATTTCCTTTGTTCTTGATAGTTAATTACTTTAGCAGTTTTTGAGACTTTATAACATACTTCTCTAGCATTCAGACTTTCTATTTTTAGTGAATGTGGAAAATCTGAGGTACTGCTTTCATTTTTCTTTAAAAACCAGTGGTAAGCTGTACAAACTACTGGAATGTTTTAAGCATTTTTCTGCAAGAATTTGCAGAATTATGTCTTGTATTTGTAGTGGAAATAGATATTGTAGTAATTAATCAATAATAAAACTTAAGATTTTTATTTGTATTTAGAAAGGAGAGGAAGGAAGTTTGGAGCACTTCATAGTAAATAAACGAAGAGAGTAAGGATTGGGATCACTTCTGATTTGGGAGCGATTACTATAGAATAGTAAAATATAAATCTATATTTAATAAGCTGCTTTATGTCTTGGATCCTAAATGAGCCCAAGTGAAGTGTCTATGTCAGGGGTGTCAAACTCAAGGCCCAGGGGCCGAATACAGCCTCAGGGTACTCAGATCTGGCCCGCAGGACTGCCCTGGAAACAGCAAAGGACTGGCCCATGGAGCCACTGCCAGCAAAAACCAAGCTTGGAAGGGCCGCAGATGGCCCTCCCATGCTCATTTTCGCTGGCAGAAGATGGCAGGAGGCCGTCGCAGCTGAAAAAGGAGTTTGGGAGCCCATTTTCACTGGCAGAGTGCTTGTGGCACCACAGTCGCCCCTAACACAAGTGATGTCGAACTGGCCACGCCTACCCCAGCCCCCCAAGGTCAAACACAACCCTGATGCGGCCCTCAATGAAGTTGAGTTTGACACCCCTGGTCTATGTGCTAATAGATCTCTTTTTGCTGCCTGCCCCAACTCTAATCACATTTATTGCAATAAAATAATATTACAAAGAAAAGTATCTGACATTTTGTACATCGTTGGAGAGGTTGTTTGGTTTTGGTTTTTTTGCAAGAATATTTCTGGTCTGGCAGCAGGCCCCATAAATTTTGTCAGTGACTTAACCCAACAGTTTATTGTAGACAAATTCTTATATAGGAAAAGGAGTTCTAAGTAGCCAAGAAAAGAATGCTTGTATTCACCTTTGCTACACATAACTAGATGAAGTCTTAAATCATTATCATAAGACAAAATGGCAAAGTATTGTATCTCTTTGAAAAAGACTGAAAAATAGTGATAATTATGTGAAAGTTTTTTTCTATCAGATCCCTCTCCTGTGTCTAAGTTGAAGATATATAGAACATGAAATTTCTTGGTTAACAGACATCAAAAGCTAATAAGATGTTTGCATGTGAAAATTACCATATATAAAACATACTTGTCTTTGTCTTGTTTTCATGTTATCTCTGTACTTGAATCTTTAAGAGTTGGAAATATTGGGTTCCAGTTGAACTGTTTAGTTATCTGACCTCACTGAAGCATCCAAATCTAGCCAACAAAGTAGCAGAAGTGTACACTTATATTTTGTAGTATAATTTGATACCAAGTTGTATCCTCAATTGTCTAATTGCTGTATTTTACTGCTTTAAGTTATTTGAGTTTTTAAAAAGCATTGGAGATGAGGTTGATTTCAGATTGTGCTATGGTTCATTAGAATATTTCAGTATTTATTAGCCTCAAACTAGTTCCTTGAATTATGAGAGCTCCTGATGGAAAGCTTAGATTTGGCAGAAATTTTAGCTACATATAATGCTCTGATATTCAATCTCAGAAATCATTTTCACATCATCATTATCATCATTACATAAGCAAGCCTTTCTGTTTTAGACAGAAACTATGCTGTTTAGAATCAGCCTGTGAATAGTGTTTTACATATAGCCCTCAACTTACAAACAGTCACTTAGCAACTGACCGAAGTTAAAATGGACCACGCAGAAGGTACTTAAGACCTGGTTCCAATTTCCCAACAGCCCCTGTCCCACACAGTCACATGAGTGCACTCAGCAACCAACCCACATTTTTGGCTGTTTGCAGCATCACATCATCATATGACCCTGATTTGGGATATTTTTTGCTAAACTCAGCATTTACTTCAAGTTTTCGGCAAAATCAGTCCATAGCAAATAATGGGTTTGCTTAATGAGCACAGCATTTACTTTACAACTGAAAAGGGTTATAAAATGAGTCCAGTGATATGATGATCTGTTTTACAACCATCACAACTTATGACCATAATGGGTAGTTTGTTAGGAATACTAAATAAGGTAGCAGGTGGTGACTTTAACAGAGAGCTCATCTCTTAGGGAATACAAGGGTCTAGTACACTTGACTATGTCTTAACCTCATATAACCTTATTATACTGGTAGTTTCATTTAAATTGGATATGGCTCGATGGTGACTATTCATCACTTTTACTTCATAAGGGTCTTAGCCCCCAACTGACTTCCTTGGTCAGTTCTTTGAAAATTAAGGATAATGATGTAGGGTTAGTCAATCCTAGGATTAGATGATGATTAGAAACATTGGTAGAAAATCCTATATTCATTAATTTACACATATGTATTTAAATTCACTTAATTCTCCTTTTGCAATCTCTGTCCCAGTTATCAGAGACCATAGCATTAGATAATGTGACTTTCTTTGATGGCAAGTTTTAAGATACTATTTAAAATGATTTAAAATACCAAAGGGAGGTACTTTTGAATTTTTTTTCATTTTTCTTTTTTCTTAAAAGATTCAGACTGTATTATAAATGTGCTATATTTATTTGTAATGCATTAACTTACTATCCTTTGCCAGTTAGATTATATTTATATTGTCATTAACTTGCATTTTTAATACCTTGTTCATAATACACCATTTCAGAGTAATTACTTTGTTGCTTAAGTCACATGAAACAGTGGAAAGCATTGTATTGCTGTAGGTGGATGAAAATCAGTTCAGTACAACTTAGGAGAAGGGAAACCACTATAATGGGTATAATGGGGAAGGTACCTAGAAAGAGAGCCTGATGTGCGGTTTCTAATTTATAGTTGTTACTGGGAAGTATGTCCTGATTTTTATATTAGTTTAGAAAACACCCAGTTTTGAGGATGAATAAAATCTCCATTGCTAAATGATAACCCCTGAAGCTTGCTTTCTAAATTGATCTAGAATTAATTTTCAGAATTCTGGTATTCTTAATGCTGCTTTCTAGTGGTACTGCTTAAATATTTAGACCGAAAATCTTCCTTGAAGAGAAGAGGCAGTTTAAGAACTTCATGTATAGTTAGGGTGTGTGTGTGTTTTTTCAGAGTTGTGGGGGGTTGTAACCAAAAAAAAAAAAATCAGGCTCACATTCTTATTCACAGCAGCAGTACGAGTAAAACACTTTTACCAAACAGCATAACAGAAGTTCAAATATTTATATCTCAGGACAACAGTGAACAGTTTCCCCTGTTTCTTCATCAGGTTCTTGACCAAGCGAGAGCAAAAACTGATGCAGCGGCGTCAGTATGCAGAGGAGCTGCTGCAATGGAAGCAACGTTTAGATGCAGAAGAAGCAGAGATACGTCAGATAGAAAAACAAGCGCTAGCTGCTTGGGAAAAAGAGCTGCACAAAACAAAAGCAAATAAAAAAGGAGCAGGAGATCAGAAATCTGATCAAAAAGGTAGAAACTATAACCTTTAACTTGTTGGAACTCTAATTAAAAGTTGGCAAACTTTTTCTTTAACGGGCCAGATTCCCTTCCCCTACCTCTGCTTTCATGGGCAGAGCAGACATTGGAAAGCGTGGTCCAGTGATAGGCTTCTGCCCACTGCCTAGGGCCCTCCATCCTCATTCCCATCCCTCATCGTGGGAGTTCAGCTGAGGCTTGGTTCCAGCAATCTGCTGCCCATCTGCCCATTTATTCTTAGCCTGCGGGCTATAAAAAGAAGTGGCAGGCCAGATTTGGCCCGTGGCCCGTGGTTTGTTGACCCCTGCTCTAAATCTTGCTATTAGAAATGTTCTCATTATGTGGAAAAGGTTTGGCTTATCCAAGCTATTTTGTTCAACAAAAGTACCTGTGCAAAGTAAGATTTCATTTCAGAAAAAAAGTTTTCATGTATTCAGGACCTGATTGTGTTCCAAAAGCTGCATTCAAACATCATACATATTGCAGATTTTTAACTGATTGTTTTTGGCTTAGTATTTTTGTCAAACAGTTCTACTTAAAAGAGAGATAAATTTTCAATATAAAAAGCAAATAAATAATAGGTAAAATAATATAGCAATGTGTTTCGCTAAAATTTTCAATATATTCTGATACATGATCATATGAAAAAGTGAAGTTTTTTTCTGAACATCTCAACTGTTAGATGATCATCTTCGCAGTGGAATGATTGAAGTCCAGTTGTTTGGAGATCTCTATCTAATCTCAGGGACTTCTATAACCTTTCTGAATATATTTTGAAGGCCTCAGAAAACCCTTTCAATCTAAACACAAACTTCATAAAAAAAACTGCAAATCAAACTAAATATCTGAGGTTTAAATAAAACAGGCTCTTCCCAATTATTCTCTAACAATGTTCTAATTATTTGCATGTAGGAGTGTATCTATTTTTTCCAGAGGTGAAATTTGCTTTTGTGTTTATTTATACCGGGGTCTTCAAATTGAACAGCTTTAAGATTTGTGGACTTCAACTCCCAGAATTCTTCCTCCAGTCATGTTAGCTCAGGAATTCTGGGGGTTGAAGTCCACAAGTCTTAAAACTGCCAAGTTTGAAGACCCTTGATTTATACAATGGACTGCAAAATGTAAGTAGCAGATGATATTTGTTATCCCCTTTATCAATTGTGGAAATTAAGATAAAATACTGCATGTTAAAATAAATTTTAAAAGTCAAAAAGTTCAGTGGTGTGTTCTTAATTTTTAGTATGACTCTAAGCCTGTATCAAAATGTTTTTAAAAGCTTGTCAGTGAAATACTGGGAGTTTTTGAACAATTGATCATTTTCCATTTTCTCTCTCTCAGAGACAGCCAGTGAAGGAGACTCTCCAATGCCACCTTGTTCTCGTCTAAATAGTGAAAGCTCAGTCCCAGAAGAATTGAGCAATCTAGTTGTTGAGTCCATTCCATCACAGGTTTCTGAGATTCAAGGAGAGCCTGGAAGCCTAGATCACACAGTAACTGAAGGAATAGTTTATACACAAGAACCGGAATCTGCTGTTTCTCCTGGAAAACCTGTAAGTGAATTTGATTACCCATTTGACATTCTTTGAAATTAAGTTAAAGGTTTAATTTGAATATTATATTACATTAGTAAATAAGTCAGATAAAATGTCTGAAGATACCTTTTCTTTAAAAGGGGGGGGGGGAAGTATTTATTCTTAATTCCAACCACTTCTAGAACACATAAAAGTAATGTTCAGTGTATATTTATTGTAACACAACATGCTAATTTTGTTAAAAATGTATTAAATATACTGTTAAAAGGTGGAAGAGATGCACTCACAAGTCACACTTTTTCTAGTTTACTTCTCAGCTTCACTGAATGAGGGCTAAAGGAGTTTTCTCTGTTGTTAGGTAAATAGGAAAGGTGACCTAATCTCCGAATACCATGTTACATAATCTATATAATTTAAGACTGGATGGATAAAGGAGATGAAATTATTTCTTATACAACACTAAACCTGACTAAAAGGATGAAAAGGTGGTGACTTTTGTCACTAGCAGGACTAGACAACATATTGTGAATGGGATCATCCTAAACTATTTTTTCAGCCTCTAAAACCCTGTTGAAGAGGCTTACAGATGGTCTTTGACTTATGACCAAACTTGGCACCAGAACTTCCATTGTTAAACAATGGTGTTATTAAATGAGTTATACATTTTTGCCAAGCCATACATTTTTGCCATACAGTCACCAAATGAATTTGGCTTCCCCCATTGACTTTGCTTGTCAGAAGCCTCCTGTGAAGGTTGTAAATGATGATCACTCTAAAACCATTGTATGTACATGTCAGTTGCCAAACGCCCAAATCATGAACATCTGTGGAGATGCTGCAACAGTTGTAAGGGTCAAACAAATAGTCATAAGTTGAGAAATACCCATAATAATGTCTCTGAAGAGCTAGATTTTAGCGCTTTTTTATACTTGGGGAAAAGTTTTTTCCCCCCTTCCCCCCCGCTTTTTTCTTCTTAGTAAATAGGGTTAATACATCTGGCACTATGGTTAGAAAGCAGTATTGAAGGCTGACTGTGCTCACTGCCAGGAGTTCAATTCTGAGCAGCTCAAGGTTGATTCAGCCTTCCATCCTTCCGAGATTAGTAAAATGAGGACCTAGATTGTTGGGGGGAACAGGCCGATTTTTGTAAACCACTCAGAAAGTTCTGTAAAACACCATGAGTGGTATATAAATCTAAGCGTTAGTGCTATCAGACACATAAATACTATTTTATTGTTTTCTGCCCTTTTTACTAAAAAGCAAAAAATTGTTCCCATAGTTTGACTTCAGATTTTAGGGCCACAGTCTTGAAGTGTTTTGAGTACTATTAGGAGAGAGCTACTGGAGGTCAATTTTTAAATGAGAACGTGAGAGAACTTGAGATTTTGTTGATTTACTACCCATGATGAAAATCTTAAGCAGATGGAAGTAATCTTAAGTGTGAAATTGAGGGTACCAAGGATAACTTTCAGGCATTTTAATATTCAAAACTTTATTCAAGGAGCACAGAAAATTCATTATCTTCAAGTGTCAAGTTGGCATTTCAGGGCTATATTTGAAAAAAGGGTAGGGACAGGGCCCAACTTGGGACAGAGGTTCACGTTTTTTCACAGGTAAAACTGAATGCCTAAAAGAGACCCAAGACTTACAGTACCCATTTTGCTCCTTAATCCACCATGTAGAAATAGAACTCCAAACCTTTTGCCTACCTTCTCTTTAGCTTAAACTTTTCTTTATTTCCCCCCATTTTCTTCGCTTTTCAAGATTTTCATCTATTCAATACCTTTTCTCTATGATTTTCATATTATTTTATATTTATTGCCTTCATTTTATTTATTTCTTTGTATTTCAGTTTTCTTCAGGTCTTCTTAGATCTAGTTCAAAACATAACAGTGTTTTAGGTATAGATGAAATGAAACTATAAGTAATCCACAACTTATGACTACAATTGAACTCAATATTTCCGTTGCTAAGCAAGGCAATTGTTAAGTGAATTATGCTGTATTTTACTATCTCCCCCCCCCCCCATTACTAAGATAATCACTGCAATTATTAACTGAATCATGCAGTGGCTGAGTGAATTTGACTTCCCCTATACACTTTGATTGTCGTAAACCAATGGAATGATTACAAATGATAATCACATGACCCTGGGACAATAAATCTGTTACAAATGCTTGCCAAGCACATAAATTTTGATCATGTGACCATAGAGATGCTTCAGCAGTCATGTGAAAATAGGTCATATGTCACTTCTTCCAGTGTTATTGTATCCTTGAACTAAATGAATGTATCAATTTTTCTGGGCATGTAGTCAAGGTGTTTTTCAGATTAAAGGGAAAGATTTTCCTGTCTAGTCATGACTGGCTCTAGGTCGTAGTGTTCCTCTCTATTTCTTAGCCGAGGGAGCCATATTTTGTCCAAAGACATTTTCTGTGTTCATATGGCCAGCATGGCTATATGCCAAAGGTGCACAGAACACTGTTACCTTCCTACCAAAGTGATACTTATTAATCCACTCATATTTGCAGGCTTTCAAGCTGCTAGGTGGGCAGGAGCTCACTTCATTGCACAGCGCTCAGGTCTCTAACCCTGGTTGTCAGCTCTAGCCCACAAGCTCAGCATCTTTAATTGCTGAGCCATTGCGTCCCCGATCAAAGAGTACTGGAGAAAAGGCCCATGCCTTAGCTTTGATTCTGGAACAATTCCAGGGGAGAAATTCTTTCCGCTTCAGAACTGCAAGCTTATGATTAGAATATGGGAAATATTATCAGATATATATTAACTATTTCCAGCCATAGAAAAGATACTCTAGGAATGATTCTTATCGTTCTGTACAACCTTTAAAAAAAAGAAAGAACATAGACATATGTTCAGTCCCAGACGTAACAGGATTAAACAGATATCTTGAAAAACCAGAAATTCAGAAAGTCTCTCCTTCTAGCAGCATATGACATAGACAAGCATCATTTTGAAACCCTTGCTTGGTATCTGAGAGGGCATCAGAGGCTTGCCATTTTGTGTCCAGTATCCAAGATTTCCCTAATTAGTTGGCCTCCCCTGCTTGAGAAGGCAGAAATCAGAATCAGTCCATGCTTGTAATTAGTGTGAGGGGTGTGTGTGTGTGTGTAATATATTTCCTTATTTACTCTTTTTTTCATCTTGACATAGTCTTCTTGCAAAAGCAGTGTATCTCTATCAAAGCAAGAGTCAAATAAACAAACACAGAAGTCTGGAGGAAAGCAGCTGTCATCTACAAAATCGCAGGATATCTCATATAGTTGGTCTGATGAGTCTTTATCTATGACCCAATCAGGTAAGTTTTACAGTTTCAACTTCCTTTTCTATCCTTTTTAAATTATTTTTAATGAGTTTCAGTTTTTCATTGGAATTGATGGAGCTTGAATTCTATGTAGATTACAGCACTAAATATAACATATTTGCAATTTTCCACCAATTTTTGATTTGGGAAATGAAAAAGGCAAGAGCGCTCATCAGAAAGATTGTAGAGAAAGGATAGGAATGGGTAAAAGGAACAAATCATTTTTATCACTTTAGTTTACATGTCACTTAAATTTAGAAGTTCTGTTTTAGTTCTGTTTTTAATAAATAAGATATAATTTTATTGTAATTATGGTTGAGATTGGATTCTTAACAGTGATTAGATAAAATGGGTTTATGTGGCTGTTCTAGCATGCAAATATATATATATATTTGGAAACTATATTTTTCTTTTTTAGAAACTACATCTGATCAAAGTGACATTGAAAGTCGAATCTGGGCTCTGAAAAATGAAGTGCGGAAAAAAAAGTCTGTTGTTTATAGACTGAAAAAAGAACAGAAGAAGAGGCTCAAAGAGAAACTTAAAGCTCAAGAGGCAAGTTTGATCAAACAGTTAGAGGTAAGAATTAATTTGAAAGAAATGTTAAATAGAAAGTGTGTATCTGTTACATATTGATATTCCCATGTTTTCTTTTGCCTCATTTTCTATGAATATTTTTTCCTTTTGAATTTGCTTTGATATTGATAGTAATATAACAATATTGACCAAAAACAAAATAAAAATATCGTCATAGGTTAAATTATATAATAACCATAAAACATTTGTATATCTTACACATGCAAACACACACAGTTCCAAATTTCAATTTTCAGTAAGATTAACACTTGAAAACAAATTTAATAAAGAATAAGGTAATGTTCGGGTCTTCCTAATACCTTATTTTTTACGTCATTAGACTTATGATGAATTCATCAAGAAAACGGAAGAAGAATTGAATGAGGATTTTGAGACAACACCAACAGCTAAACCTCAAATCAAAACTCCATCTTCAGTTACTGAGAAACCAAAACTCAAACCCCCACCACTTCATAGGTAAAGTAATTGCTTAAAGTTAATGCATGATGGCCTTTAGCAGTCTACAAAAGATTTGTATCTCTTTCAAAGGGAGAAAACTATCTTATATGCATGCATATTTAAGAATCTGAGATGCTGATCAAAAGAACTATTTGGATGAATTCATATTAAAAAGAGACTGACCAAGTAATTTTTTGGTATGTAATTTTGTATACAGAAAAACATGTTCCAGAGGAAAGAGAGTATTATAAATTAATAGTGGCTTAATTAATAATCCTTAACACGTATTCATTAATATATTTATAAAGAAAAAATTATCAAAATGAATATTTTAACACTGTAGTAAAATGGACAAAATCTTGCACTAGACTGTAGTATTCAAAATCATAAAGTCATGCACAAAGCTCATGCTAAAAAAAGAAAAATCTTGATGTGTTAGACACTGAGCTGCAACTGCATAAAAGCAATATCTATATGTTGATGTTACCATTTCAATACCATTGCAGTTTACTGCAGAGGCTGCCACCAATTTATTAATGAGAGTAATGTCAAGTATTATTGTATGAAAATTTGGAAAATATAGATTATTATCATGTAGTCCCTAGTCATCTCATGGTTGGACTATTGTAATGTGCTCTACATGAGGCTACCCTTGAAGAGCATTCACAGGAACAGTTGGTGCAGAATGCAGTAGTGCAGGCAGTTTGGTGGCCCCAAGAATGGCCCCTGTAACACCACTGCTCTGCAAGCTTCATTGGCTGCTGGTCTGCTTGCAGGTACAATACAAGGTGCTGGTGATCACCTTTAAAACTCTTAATGGCATGGATCCAGGTTACTTGAGGGACTATCTAACCCCGCTGGGATTGGCCTGTCCCACTGGTGCTGGCATGCTGTGGGTCCCGTCAGTCCAATTATTCTAGCAGGTCCAGGAGAAGGGCCTTCTCTGCTGTTGCTCCTGCCCTCTGGAACATCTTACTTCTCTGATGTGAGGTTGTCCCCAGCCCTCCTATCCTTTTGTAAGGGCCTAAAGACCTGGCTCTACCAGTTGGCCTGGGGTCCCAGTGTGGGGAAAAGCACGATGGATGTGGTTGATTGAGTAACCCATTCTGTTGCCACCCTCTCCGTGTGTTTTATTCTGTGGTTTTAATTTATTCAGGTTTTAATGCAAATGGTTTTTTTGTCTGTAACCACTCAGAGTAACCTTATGGTAATATGGGAGGCCAATAAATTTTATAATTAAATTTTTTAAAAATATTCAGAGATTACTTCCTTGCCCATCAATCCTATGTTGCTGCAAATAACTTGAATAAGTTGGGTATGTTTTTCCTTTCAAAATCCAATTTTAGCAATACATGCCAGGTCAATATGATTTCTCAAAATCACATTCTCATTGACAGATATTTTGCTATTCACTGCCCAGGAGTCAATGGGACTTAAGTCAGCGGGACTTAAAATTAATCAGTTTTCTGATATGGTAACCAATCTCAGATTGAGAAAGAACTGTAAACAAAATCCTATTAGCTCTAGTTCCCAATGCCAAACCTTCCTTTGGGGTGGCAGATATAACTATTTGGGGGGGATTCAACATTCAAATCTCTGAATTAAATATTTTTTTAAAAAAAGACTGCTATGTTTTCTCCTTGTTTTATTTTGTTAATTCTGTGCAGTGTACAATATTTTCAGAACGTTTAAAATATCTTTAAGTACATGTGTGAGTGATCTATTCGAAACTTCTTTTTAGGTCTGAAACATCCAAAAGTTGGAAATCACTCACTGATTCTGAACGTTCTAGAGGATCTTTGGAATCTATTGCGGAACATATTGGTATGCATCTTGGAAATTTGTTTAAAATTAAAATTATACACGTTATCTTCATAAACCTAATGTGGTTAAAATAATTTCAACTAAAAGTATGTTTTTAAAAAATATATATATAATTGAAAAACAAGCAAGTGAATTTAATAGATTTTATTATTATTTTTAATTAATATTTTTCCCATAGTATTGCGATAAGTAAGAATCTGTTGAATTATTTCATATTCAGTATAAATTCTAAAAATATATTTTATTTTCTATAAGCTATTCATATTTTCTAGCAATTTTATTTACAATACTTCTTCAAAAAAAAGTTCAAAGAAGAATACTAGTACTTGCTACCAAGCACTTTTAGTTCAGAGTGGCTAAATAAGCATAAGTATCTCTTCTGACACTTCTATTGAGTTTCGTTTGCACTATGCCTGACTGGAGTTGATAGCTTTTTAGAAAGAAACAAGATAGGGATTCAGATTCAGAGTAATATTAGTTAATTTATTGTGTTCACTATGCGTCTCTCTGTTCATACTTCTTCATTCTAGAATTTGTTTAATAAACATTTAAGTTTAGTAAAGTATCAGACAAGGAAGGAAAGATCAAATCTCAACAATCACCTGGTTTATTGTACTAGAAATTTAAAGGGAACATTTATACAGTTTAAAAACCTTTGTATATATTTTGGGGTCTGTTAATTCTAATTCATAGTAGAATCAAAGCATGTATGAAGTTTTATTGATTATAAATTTGATTGGAATATTGTGTTTAATTATACTTTAGCCATTTATATGTAAACTGGAATATTCGTACTATTTGATGGGACAGGTTAGCATTCTCTAGTAAGAATTTCAGGTTTTTCCTATTACACCCATACTTTTTACTTCTTTAATACTGCTAAATAAAAGTGCACAATTGTTTTAAGTATGTGTGTTTGATTTTGTTTTATTCTCTTAAGATGCTTTGCCACCTTCTGAACAATCTGAGTCTGTAAACACCATGAAATTCACAGAAGCAGAGATTCAGACAGAGAAGCAGTCTCATACAGCATCCACAGTCCTCAAAATCCTAAGAAAATCTTCAGCAGAATCGGACAAGTTGGATAGTTTACTCCCATCAGCTATTCTCAAAGACTTAGGAAACACGAGCAAAATATCTCCCATATCACTGAATAAGTCTGAAGATGCAGTGAGTTATGACTGTCCCACTACCAGATCTATAGTGCAAGAGACAGCAGAATCAAAAGAATTAGAGGTTGAAATAGCCTCCCAGACTTATGAGATATCCAATGCCTCAGTTTTTGATTTAAATCAAAACAATTCAGTTCCTTTAAAGAGAGAGGTCCCTCCAGAGACTGAGCTGTTGGAAAAGAATCAGTTTGTCTTGGAAGGCATAAGTGTGCAGGAAATCAAGGAGATGCCAAGTGAAAGGTTCAATGATGATGAAAGTATTACATCAGTCAAATCTGTTTCAGAACAGATTTCCATTTGTGAAGAGCAATCATATTCTAGTGATTTTGAGGAGTCTTCCTTAGGAACAGATATATCAAAAAGTGAGATAGTTCTTACTGAATATCAAAGAGATGTTTTTCAAGCACCTACACTACCTTCCAGACAAGATACAGGATCACAGGGAGAGAACTCCTTGTACACAAGGCCTCCTAGGAGTGAATCCCCTGGTTTTGGAAGTGAGGATGAAATAAGTGAATGTCTCAGTGAAAAATCTTTGTCTGTAGCTGATAGCATTCAATCAGAAAGATTGTTAGAACTCAAGTCACCAACAGAATTTGTGAAAAATAAAGATTGTGGTGATGTGGAGAAAGAACTATTTGATGATGATGATGATGATTTATGTTGGGGTTCCAGTTTCAAGGCACCATCAGAAAAGCAAGAAGATATTTTGCGAGGTTTCAGCATTGGTGACCGAGTTCTTGTGAGTAATATATACTCTGGAACACTGAAATTTAAAGGTTGGACAAATTTTGATAAAGGTTTTTGGGCTGGTGTAGAATTGGATGAACCAGAAGGAAACAATAATGGTTCTTACAATGGTATTCAATATTTTGATTGTAAAGAAAACTATGGTATTTTTGCCCCTCCAGAAAAAATATCTCTTTTTTCAAAAAGTTTTGGTAATGACTTAGATTCAAAGGAAAATTCTTTCTTTAAGCATGAACAAGATAATCAACACAAAACAAATCAGGAAGGCTTAGATACTCTTGAAAAAGAAAAGAATAAAAGAAATACAAATGAGAAATCTCCAAGAGAATCATCTGCCTTAAAAGGGTCAATTGGAGCTGGAGATTATGTAAAATTCAATAAATCAAGTGACTGTCTGGTAGTTATTAGTACTGTTGACGGGTTTGATCAAGAAACCAGTGGCTTTGACTCTCCCAAATCCTCTAAAAATGATAATGGTATGTTACCTCCTGCCATTTCTAATATCCACAAAGAAGATTCTGCTATTGAAGTTGGAGGGGATTTGGACAGCAACTTTCCTAAGAAATGGAAGCACCGGTCAGTGTGGCAAGAGCAAACAGAAAACAGGTTTTCTCCCAGTAATCTGGAAAAATCTGCAACGCCACTTCTGGATTTATTGACAAAAGAAAGAAGCCAACTAGAAGCCCAACTTAAAGTCCCATCCCAAGAAAAGGAAGATCTACTAGATCGAGAGGAGAGAGTTGGTTTATTGGCTGACAGTCTCCTGCAAGGTTTTGTGAAAGACACAGTCAGTCAATTTCAGCAAATCAAAAAGGCAAGGAACGAGAAGATCCATTTTAGCAATCAAGGACTCAGTGCTGTCCAAGAAAATAACTTGGCAACTAATGAACAGCAGAGGTTTTTAGTGGTATCAGAATTGGATGATGGAGAAGAAGTATCTTCCCCAGATATGTGTCCCAGACCAGTAAGTATAGTTAATAATTAAGATAAGTAAGACTAGAGTAATGTTTCAGTTATGAAGTTTGACAGGCTGTGGCTTATTAATAAGCTGTGTCTTAACAAAGATGTTTGTGTTTCACATTTTTGTTTGTTTGTAATCACATTTGTTTTTATCAGTGTTTGTACACTGGCACATTCAAATCAGACTTGCCATAATTCACAACACTTTCTTGCACCCTAAGAACAAAAAAAAATCTTAACTGAAAATATGACTATATATCATTAAATTTTAAAGCATTCATGGATAACGCATATCAAAATCAGGAATATAGTGCAGGAAATACTTAAGGTACTAAGTAATAACAACTTTCTTATTATTTAGGAAAGCCCTGTATTTGGTGCCAGTGGACAGGAAGAACTTGCCAAGAGGCTGGCAGAACTGGAACTTAGCCGGGAGTTTCTGAATGTGTTAGGAGATGACCAAGATTGGTTTGATGAAGATTTTGGCTTGAGTTCACATAAGCTCCCTCAGAACCAAGTTGAAGAATCAGCAGTATTACCTAAGATAGAACTGCCAAAAGTGTCCCCAAAGCCATGTGAAGAACCTTTGGCTGCACCATATGTTGCAGAAGAGGTGGAGGAATTGGTGCATGCAGCAGCTGAGAAGCTATGGAAATACAAAGAGTTGGGGCTTGATCTTCAGGCTCTCAGTAACCCCAGAGACATCAATGAATCCCCCCTAAATGATGACATTGAAACTGTTAGTAAACAAATCTACAAAAAGGTATGACAGTTATCTCAGATTATTGTGAAATGTATAAAAATAGAAAAAATGTACCAAAGGAGTCCTGAATCTGTTAAAAAAGAAGAAGGAATGCTATTTTGGACTCAGTGATAGAATGCAATATAAAATAAGTGTGTGGTGTGTTTGTGGAAGACAGATACAATGAAGTGTAAGAGAAAAGAGGTTATGGAGGCATTTTTCAAAAATGATAAAAACAGTAAGAATCTTGGCCCCAAGAATGCAATAATTAAACAAAATTATATTCCACTTGCTGCATAGCAAATATTCAGCATAAATACTTTCATAAATATTTTTGTTTGGTTCTTTGAAAAATGATACAGTATTATAATGTACAATGGTAATACGGTGTTATTTTATTTTATTTTTATCAAGGCTGTGTTTGATTTAACAAGAGAGATTTTTGAAGAAATCTTTGCAGAAGATCCAAATTTGAATCAGCCATTGTGGATGAAACCCAGCAGGATCATTTCTGGTTACTTTCGACGAGTAAAAGATCCAAGTGATCTTGAAGAAATAAAAGTAGGAATAAGATTAATAGCTTGAATTTTAAATATATTTATAGAAATAAAGTACAGTTCATCTAGACAGCAGTTCTCAGATGTTTTTGTCTCAGGGCATTGTTACATTCTTAAAAATGATTGAGGGCTCCAAAGATCTTTGGTTTACATGAGTTATATTTATGGATATTTACTGTATTAAGGTTTAAAACTGAGAAATTTTAAAAGCATTGTCTTCATGGTATCTCTGAAAGGGTCTTGGGCTCTCCCAGAAATCCCCAGTTCATGCTGAGAACCACTGATCTAGAACTTGAGGTAGAATGTGAAGTCTGGTGGAAGTTTATTATGCATTTTTATTTGTAAAATGATTTTCTTACACCATCAGTCATGTTCCAAGATGAATGGTACATATGATACTACACTGCTTAAAAAAATAAAGGGAACACCAAAATTAGACATCCTAGATCTGAATGAATGAAATATTCTTATTAAATACTTTGTTCATTACATAGCTGAATGTGCTGACAACAAAATCACACAAAAATTATCAATCGAAATCAAATTTAGCAACCCATGGAGGTCTGGATTTGGAGTTACACTCAAAATTAAAGTGGAAAAAAACACTACAGGCTGATCCAACTTTGAAGTAATGTCCTTAAAACAAGTCAAAATGAGGCTCAGTAGTGTGTGTGGCCTCCACATGTCTGTATGACCTCCCTACAACACCTGGGCATGCTCCTGATGAGGTGGCGGATGGTCTCCTGAGGGATCCCCCCCAACTCCTGGACAGTCTGTGGTGCAACATGGCGTTGGTGGATGGAGAGAGACATGATGTCCCAGATGTGCTCAATTGGATTCAAGTCTGGGGAACGGGCAGGCCAGTCCATAGTATCAATGCCTTCGTCTTGCAGGAACTGCTGACACACGCCAGCCACATGAGGTCTAGCATTGTCTTACATCAGTAGGAACCCAGGCCAACCGCACCAGCATATGGTCTCACAATCCCCACCTGTGGACGCTGGGCCCTCATACCACCCTCATGGAGTCTGTTTCTGACTGTTTGAGCAGCCACATGCATGTTTGTGGAGGTTATTTTGCAGGGCTCTGGTAGTGCTCTTCCTGTCCCTCCTTGCACAAAGGTCGAGGTAGCGGTCCTGATGCTGAGTTGTTGCCCTCCTATGGCCTCCTCCATGTCTCCTGATATACTGGCCTGTCTCCTGGTAGCGCCTCCATGCTCTGGACACTACGCTGACAGACGCAGCAAACCTTGCCACAGCTCGCATATGTGCCATCCTGGATGAGCTGCATTACCTGAGCCACTTGTGTGGTTTGTAGACTCCGTCTCATGCTACCACTAGAGTGAAAGCACTGCCAGCATTCAAAAGTGACCAAACTATCAGCCAGAAAGCATAGGAACTGAGAAGTGGTCTGTGGTTACCACCTGCAGAACCACTCCTTTATTGGAGATGTCTTGCTAACTGCCTATGTTTTCCACCTCTTGTCTATTCCATTTGCACAACAGCATGTGAAATTGATTGTCAATCAGTGTTGCTACCTAAGTGGACAGTTTGATTTCACAGAAGTGTGATTGACTTGGAGTTACATTGTGTTGTTTAAGTGCTCCCTTTATTCTTTTGAGCAGTGTATCTCTCATTTTTCCAGTCTAGTTTCTTCTTACTGTATTGCTGATTTCATTTAAATATTAGTTTGAAACTGGATGTGGATGAATGCTTCTATTTTTTAAAACTAAAATAATAAAGGCTTTAACTGTCAATCTTTTACACTGTTCCAGTTACAAATCCATCCAAAATGGCTTACATCTAGTATCATTTAAAAAAAAAAATACAATGAATGATAACCAATATATAAAGAATTAAAACTCTTCCAATATAGCAACTAATAATAGCTATATCTGGATTAATGACTCAAGGAGTGGAGATAGTTCCAAATAATGCCTGATGCTGCTTTTATCTGTATTCTGGAATGTACAATAGTTGAATCAGTGTCATAATTCATAATGAACTTTATGGATATTTCTAGAGTTAGCTACAAGTTGCTTTACTACAGTTGTAATTACCTAGCAATACAATGTGTTTTCTGTTGCATATATGCCATATCTGTGACCTCACTAGAAATCGTCTCCCTGAAAGCTGCTTGTAGAATTGATGTTGCAACTAGAGAAAATGTATTTAGCTAGCATTCATTATTATTTTTATTTCTCCTTTATCCAAGGTCTTTATAACAGCTGAGGTTTTAAAGCTCTTAAATTTGAGGAAGGAATCAAATAATAAAACAGACTGGCAGAAAATGATGAAATTTGGACGGAAAAAAAAGGATAGAGTGGATCACATATTGGTTAGTAATTATTTTTTCAGTTTTGCATTATAGTCAGGCGTAAAGACCTAGCAATCTGCATGGTTTGAAAAAATGGGTTAGATCTAATGTTGTTTACATATTAGCTTGTTCTTCTTTCCCAGATTTGCTTTCAGTCCTCCTAAACAGAATTGTAGACTATCAGGAAAATTAATGTATGCTTCTGAAGAACCACATTTTCCTTGTTTGTATGCATCCATATAAACTATGGATAAATGTCAAGTAAAATTACGCATTTCCAAATTTAGATTTTTAAGCAGAATAAAGACTTTCATTGTTATTATTTACTAGGTTATATAGGCCACTCCAGTCAGAGCCATCTCACTCTACAGTAGGCTATTTGGTTGTTTAATGTATTTATAGATACTGAAATACGCTTGTGATATAAGAGACGTTGTTTAATAACCTACATATGTGCATACCTCTGGAAAAAATGGTGCCTTATTGCTGGTTGAGGACCCAAATGATTTTCAGCAGATACAACAAGAAAATGATCGCTGTTTTAACACAAAAATGGAGTGAATGATTGCAGATGATGCAGATTATGAATAATCATTCATAAATGGCAAAAAGAAATAGAGCAAAAAGATGAAGGTGTGCTTTTGGGGAAATGTTTATTATAGATGGAGAAAGTTCAAGATGTGCAATTGCTGATAGAAAGGTAATGCGTAGTATATGGGTAGTCTATTGTAAAGAATAAATGTCAGTGGAAAAGTGTGCTTCTAATCACTTTCTAAAGTGAAAGTAAGAGTTGACTAAAGTAAGCAAACATGTTTAATTTCTTAGGAATTGGGTATTTTAAGTATTCATGATAAAGCAAAGTATAAGGTTAAGAATACACAGCTGTTTGGGAAATGTAGACTGAAAACAAAAATGAATGATCATTGTACATTGAGGATAAAAATCAAATTGCAAAATAAATATATGAAGGAAAAATTAATGTGTTGAGAGGAAGGAGAAGGGTGAGAAAATAATGGCTGCCTGGAGTTGATAAGTTCTTGAAAAACAGAGGCAAAAAGTATAAAAGGCAGAATACAGACATTGTGGAAACAAAGAAGGCATGGAAAGGTAATGAATAGCGTTGATATAAATTAACTTTAGTATCTTTCTTTTTTTATGTATCTCATGCTTATAATTTCTTATTCTTTTTCTGTACAGTCTTGCTTACCCATAAGTGAATAGAATGATGGATGTACACAGTATGTCTATCTGTATATAACCATCTAAAGCTAGCTTAAACTTTTTTTCAAAAATATTTTACAGCAAATTGGCTACTTTTAGAGATAGCTTGAGCATAGGGAAATTTTTACTCCATAACTTTAATGCATATATAACTATTTAATAACTCTGACACTGTTGTAAAGCATGAATAGGTTTAAAATTACTAAAAAGTAACATGAGTAATTTCAGTGGAATATGAGTCACACCAAAGCCTGCCTTACTGGCCAGAATCATTGATAAGTGATGGTGATTGATTGACTGACTGACTGACTGCCAGCAAGTTAGCGTTGACTCTTCATGACCTCATAAATAGTGATATCATCCTATTTTTACATTTTTGTTATAACTGAAATATATCTAGGACTTATTCATTTTCTTTCCTGTGAGTTGTTGAAAATCTGTAGCTTTTATATAATGATGTTTAGATGGATTTACAATAATACTTTTTATGATATATGTTTACAGAGTAGTATATTAATAGCGGTGACTTTTCTCCCTCCCCTTTCTAATTCTAAGGTTCAAGAATTGCATGAAGAAGAGGCTCAGTGGGTGAACTATGATGAAGATGAGCTGTATGTGAAGATGCAGCTAGCAGATGGGATTTTTGAGGCCTTAATTAGAGACACTATTGATCTCCTCAATCAGATCTTTGAAAAGCAGAAAATGTTTGTCTAACATTAAACCATATTTTTGTTCAAAATTGATTGGCTGAGAAGTGATACAACGTCTCCTCTTCCTGTGCTGCCTTTGGATCTCCTACACTGGATTTGTTCCAAAAAGGCTCCCCCTCCCCTAGTATGCTTTTGCCAATTCAGTATGTACAATAATACTTGGCATTTGTTCTTTCAATATTGGCAGTTTGCAAATGGTTGAGGTGGAGCGCCAAGAACCCAACGATGGAAAACTCAAGTTACTAGTAAACATTCTTCATGTTAATAACTGCTCTACTTTGTTTTATGTGTAATTTATAATTGTTTTCTGACTTAACAATGTATATGTCAGTCCAACCAAGTATCTGCTCCTCACTCTTATGTAATTTTAATCTTTTTGTCACATTGTGGATCTTCTGTCATTGGATTAATGCATGAGGATCTGAGGAATCATGCCTTCTTTTTTCAACTAAATTTTTATTTCCATTTCTTAAACAGTTAATCTGAGATGCTTTTTTCTACTTTTCCACTATATTTGTTTTTTCCTCAGTGAACCACCAGCTGTTCCTCAGTAAATGGTACTCAGGATTCTCTCAGGATTTTAATGTGTGAGAGATAGGAAAAAATGCTTACATAATGTGGGCCATTGATCCCTTTGATTCCTCCCTTGCTTACCACCTTACTGTAATGTACTGGTGAAACCATTACTTGAACTAGCTAGGGTTAGGAGTGTATGTACCAAAGAGAGTGATACTCAGTGCTTGACTCTGGACCTGATTTTTTTATGCTTGTGACATTTGTTATAACTTATTTTATAACTCCTAAAAAAATAATGGTTGAGTGCTCTATGGATGCACTGTTACAGGATTTAAAACGTCAGAATATCAGTACATTAGGAATGCATCTGTCTTATAAAAATGAGGTATCATATTAGGTGCAAGAAATGCATCAGAGAGGAGAGTCGACAAAGATCCAAATGCATGGTTTTTTTTCCTCTGTGGGGTAGAAACGGATTGTGAAGAGGCCCATGTTATATTAAACTAATGTACTTGGAAAGGAGAATAGGATGTCAAAGGCCCTTTTGCCAAGATTTCCATGACTATTAGAGTGGGCCACTGTCAAACCCAGTGTGGCTTATACTGCCTCCATGCCTCCTCTCCCACCCCCAAAGTTTTCTCCAGGGAATACAAAATAATGTAGGCTTGACTACTGATGCCTTAATTTGAAATCTGGATTACTTGAGGAAATATTGAATCAGAGTGGATTCAAAATCTGTTAATCTATCCCAGCAGAGATAGTGTTCCAAAGCATAGGCGAAGGCATTCCAAAGACTCTATGCGCCTATTTATGCCCTTTTTCCTTTCATCTTTAGTTTCCTGGTCTTCCAGTCAGTATATGTCTGCAAGTACTCTCTTGTGGATCTCTTTTGAAACTTTTTTTTATTTGTTTGCTGTTTGCACAGTAACACACAACCAAGATAGCTCCTTTTAACCAGAAAATATAAAAAAAAACGTTGTTGGCATACAATCAGAACTGCTCATAGGTAGATTGACAGAGTCATATTTGTAAACTTGGGATGATTAAATGGGCTAAAGGAACAAAAGACAGAATAACTAGCACATAGACTTTAGTAGCATGTAAATGTCAATTTTAAACAAATCTGGTGGAGCAAGCTGCTATGAGTTAAGTACTTTTCATACTGAACCTCAGAATGTTTTTAATGCATGTTTAATACTTAACTGTTTTTTTCTTTGTTTTGAAACAAATGAGGCCATTTTCTAACAGTTTTAGGTTTTGCCATTTTGGGGTCATCCATGTCTTGCCCTACCTACATAGCTAAATTATGAGAATCAAGGGAATATCCAAGCAAAGAGGATGGGGGAAGTCATGAACTTAAACTGAAAACTATTGATCAAACAGAATGTTGACATGCCCAAGGTGATTAAATCAATAGAATAATGTATACAATAAATTGCTTAACTCAGATTTGTTGCTGTGATCCATAGCAATGCAAAGGTTTCACTGCAACCAAATGTAGAGGAACGGGGCCAACATATGGTATAGATTTAAACTGAGAGAACTGTAGCTATTATAACATTTTTGCAAGAAAACAATTACTTGAGCATGAATCCAGGTACATTCTAGCCACAATTTTGGCTGTGAAGGAATGGTCTTCAATATTGCCTCACCAGGCCCATATATACCAGAAAGGGCAACCCATTCAGGCCTTATATGGCATTTTTCGTCTCCCACAACTGTATGTGGCATAGTTTTAGGAATTCACTTTATCCTTAAAGATACTTCTGACTGCCCACTACATACAACTAAGTTTCAGCTAAAATGACCTAACGACTGAACTGCATGTTATCAAAGCTGCACAATTTCTAGTTTTGTATCAGGCTGGTATGGTGTAGGCTGTTAAGGGCTGTTAACACTGGGATTCTTGAGAAAAAAATTACCTTTTGGCTGAAGTGTAATTATTCTAATCACATCTTGCAATTGAATAGAGTGGGTGAGAAACTTGAGGAAAGAGGAGGAAAGAGTGCATAATGACTTGCCTTAAATAGCTGTTCTGGGCAACCTTCTTTTGTTCATTTCACTGACATATTAAGGATGCGTTGTTCCCCAAATCCCCTTTCTGCTGCCTCTATCCAGATGACCCCAAATATTGATGCCTCTATGGGTTTTTTCCCCTGCTAGGGAAGGGTTATGCTGAGGTGCTCTCTCATAAAAAGGGCTGGAGAATTGAGCTCAAATACCTGTTGATTTCAGTGATTCTGACTACCAGATTCAACTTTTGCACCATCTCACAGAAGCAACCTACTTACTATTATAGTTTTCTACAGTGCTTAATTATTCCTACAAGTGAGATTGGAGAGCCATGTAGCTACTCTGAAAAACACCTAAAAACATTTTTTGGGATTCACTATATTACCTCTAGGTCACTTTGAAAAATCCTATGTGCGCATAAACATGAAATACATGCTGTTGTCACCTACAGATTCATGAAATCGCATACCTGAATGTCATTCCCCCACTTTTTTTTATTTGCATGCAAATGCAGGCATAATCATTGTGTATACTAAAAGTGAAAGTGAACATAGTGCCCGGTGAATCCTTTGGAAAATTGTCCTTTTCCCATCAGAGTTTGGAATGGACTTAAGCAGCATAGAGGAGTTTAATTATGACAAAGAATCACTAATTGTCTTGGAGAGTATATCCTGAATATATTAAATTATATTATGCCCAGCCATCAGAATTCACTTTAGGGAAAAATGCTGACAATAATATGTATATATGGAGAGAGAGCAGCTAGAAAATATGGACTGTTGGTGCTCTTTTATTCTATATTAAAATGAATTTTAATTCATTAAACATTAAAGTGAATTTTTGAGGAAAATTGCTTACCACAAAATGTATGCAAATATAAAGAGCAACAATCTTTGTGGCTCTGTTCCTGACCTATAGATTTAAGATAAAATTCTGAAGATGTCCTATTAAAGCTCAATTTAAATGCAAAAACATCACCAAAAAGATTATTTTATGTGTTATTGTATAGTCATTTACTTCAAAGGGAGGCTTGAATAGGACAATCCATGGATTGTAAGTTGTCGCCTTTCAGTGCTCCAGTATTTCCGAAAGTTTAACAGCAAGGTTTTGTGGCCTGTTTGGCAAGGGGGAGGAGGACAAATGGATGATCTTTTTAAAAAAAAAAAAAACGTGGCCTTAGCATTTTTTGCAATACTTGAATAAAAGTGTGTATTCACTAAAGAAATACCATAGCACAGCATTCAGAGACCTTTGAAGTCACTGCACAGTAAAGCCTTTTTTTTTCAAGCAAGTTTGTTATTTAATCAGAATTGATTGACTTGTGTTCCAGCAGCAAAAACAGTTTTGACCGTTGTAAAGTAATTCTTTGTAAATTGTACATTGTCAATATAAACAAGCAAAACTCATCTGAATTAATTTAAAATCTCATGGATAAAGAATGAAAAACTCTACATTATAACACATTGCAGTAAATAAACATTTTGAGAGAGCCTTTACTGTACATCTGCAGAGTTGTCTTGGAGAAACTATTCTTCCTTGCATACTGTGCTGTGCAGATACTGTTTCTGCCTATGTGTTTATGTAAGTAAGTTATTCATAGGTTTCCAGGCCAATTTCAGCCAATATACGCACTTCTTTGTGTAGTACGGCTTGGTAGAATACAGGGTGTTAAGGTTCATGTACTTTTGAAATGTAAAATAAATCAGTATAGTCTCTTTACACCAATGTAAATACCTTTGTTATTTTGAGATGTACTTTAAGAGAATAAAATCTGTAAATAAAGTGATTTATAAATTATCCAAATAGTTTATCAGTTGTTAAAATAAAGTACATTTGTTCATATGCTGTTTGTTCTGGATGAATCTAGGTCTCAGTTCTCTTCAAAAATATTTGCTGGGGCAAGGTATGCTTTAATTACACAGATAGTTTTGTTAATCAAGCCAGTGTTTCTGGGCATTCCAACATGAAGATATTCACAGCCCTCAATAATGGATTCTTCTATATGCAGAAAATGTGTTTACTAATATTAGTAATAATTATTTCTTCTCAGTTGCCACTTGAAGTTCTTTAAGCCTAGAAAAGAAACAGAATAGCTCTAAGCCAGAGGTCTCCACCCTTGGTCCATGGACCAGCAACTGGGCCATGGCATGCTAGAAACCGGGCCACACAAACAAGTGATATTGTTAGTCAATATTCTGAGTTTTCTTTACTAATCATGGCTTAAATTAATGGATACAGGCAAATCTTTTGCTAAGACAAACTTGTTTATTATAAGAAGCAGCAGACAATATAGAACAGTGGTGAACGTATGGCACACTTGCCGTCATCCCAGCTCAGCTCCACTGCATTTCTCCATGGCATTTCTCTCCGTCATTTGTTCCATCAAACGAAACAAGCTCACGTAAGAAAAAGATCTCACCACTTGCAGAGCTGCCATTGTTGGGATGCCCATCTCCCACCAGCCAGCTGGTCTTTGGGTCTCTGTTGTGTGTGCTCCTGCGCATCATGTGCCCGTGCACCTTGCAGTTTGGGCATGTGGCACTTTCACTTTGGGCACGCAGTGCCTAAAAGGTTTGCCATTAGTGGTATATAAAATGAGAAAAGTTCACTGAAGATGGGCTCTAGCATAAGTCTGAAAGCTCGGAAGACAAAACCTCTGCTCTTGGTGACCAACACAGATTGGATCCTGCAATATCCTGGGACACATCCATTTGTAAGATAATACAGTCTGAAATTCAGAGGCTGTAAGCAACCTTGTTCTCTTAACTCAGTTTCATGAGTTTAATTCTTGGCCTTTTGTTAGCATTTATTACTTGTCTATGCCAGTTATTTAGTAACTTATTTTCAGTAAAGACTGAAATTGTGAAAAGAAATTAAACCTTGGTAGAATATTTAACTGCTGCAGCTCTTCATCCAGAATAATTTTATATTTCTATTTTATTGTTTTTCCAAGATGACAATTATTCTTAAATATTTATTTTCTACTTGGGGGGAGGGAACCTCTAAATATTAAACTGTTTAGAATCATGTTAAAGCCTATGGTTTGATACACGCATTGCTTTTCTTTTTCTGTCAGATTCCATGTCAACATTTGAGGGTTTTTCTTCATTATTCCGATAACTTGACATTGAACCATATTGTTGTGCATGCTCCATCAGCCATGTTAAAATCTCTAGGCTGAGCAATTATAAGTACAGTATCATCAGCAAATAAGTTCGTTTATGTTCTTGTGTGGCTATTTCTGCACCAAATTGTTATTTTGGTGAGGCTGAATTTCCAAGTGGTTCCAGTGCCAGTAAAAACAAAATGAGAAAGGGAACTCCCTCATCTTGTCCCCTTGGATTTCTCATATTGTTGTATAATAAGACTATTTACAATATATTTATAAATGCTTTATAAATGCTCTGTACCATGGGCAGAAATGATGGCCACACTCCTTTGTTTCTCAAAACTACAAAATAAAAGGGTCAAAGGCTTTTTTCAGTGTCAAAAAACTCAGCCACTTTTTTTGTTTTTCTGATTTACCTTAACAACAAATATATTTCAAAGAGATACATAATCATCTAATATCTTATATATCTCTGAGATAAAGCCATCTGATCAGGATGTTTCAATTCAGTTAAAAAGCCTTTTAGTATCTTAGCAAGAATTACTGTTAAAAATGTATAATTCATAGATGGATTTATAGGCTTCAGGAATCTTTCCTTTTCTACCAATCAAAGTAATGAAAGCTTTATATACTTCTTTCAAATGAGAGATTGACCTCTAAGTAGCTTTAAAATTGGTTTTTTTTAAGGTAGAATTGAATTGAATTCTTTATTGGCCAAGTGTTATTGGACACACAAAGAATTCTCCGATGCATAAGGTCTCAGTGTACATACAAACAGCAAAATGATAAATGATAAATCATAGGTCATAAATCATACGATACAAAAATAAATCATAAGATACAAGCAACAATTGATAAATTATAATATACCAATAGAAGAAGGTAGTAGGAAAGATGAGAGCTGAGAAAGATGAAAAGATGTCAAGGATAATAGTAATACAGCCATTAATACATGGGTAAGTATTTTTAGGCCTAAAACTGCTGTGGGAGTGAGGTGTTTAGCGCAGTGATGGCATGGGGGAAGAAACTGTCTTTGTATCTAATTGTTTTGGCCTATAGTGGAATCTTGAGGGGATAAGTTGAAACAGTTTATGTCCAGGATATGAGGGGTCTGTAGATATTTTCTCAGTCCTCTTTCTGGCTCATGCAGTATACAGGTCCTCAATGGGAGACAGGCTGGTTGCAACTGTTTTTTCTGTTTTTTCTTCAGTCCTAACTAATGTGCCGAACTAGACAGTTTTAGAGGTACAAGTGCAGGTAGAATTAGCTGATTAGTTATGAGTTATGGTGAAAGTTAAACTAAGAAGAGAAGTGTCCTGAAAATCAGATATTAAAAGACAACCATTGGATTTGCTACTTCATACTTTATTTCTGAGGTTTCTAAGGAAGCTACCTGGCTGCTGGTGAGGGATTTTCATCTGAACACTCTCCACAGAATAATGGTTATTAACAGTAAATAAGATGAATTTATTTTTACCAGAAATGTCCTTTCAAACCAGAGGATTAATCAGAAGGACAAAGTCCCCTTCTATGGTACACTTATGCCATGTTAAAGGAACAGAGTTTGTACCACAATGTTGCAATGCACGCTCTGCCCTTTCCTCCCTCACACACACCCGCCTTGGGGCAGATGCTGATCTTTGATATACTTTTGCTTTCATCCCAGTGTAGCATTCTAGCAAGAGAAAGAATAATGAGGTCACTGATACTTGTTTCAGTTTCTATCTCTTATCTCTACAGGGAACAAAAGAGATATTTTGAATTCTTAAGAGCCAGGGCAAAAAAAAAAAAATCCTTTTGTAGAGATGTCCCCAACAGCTATTCTGTGGGATAAGATGGCAAAGTTTAAATCACTGAGAGAGGAGCAAGCATTGGTTTCAAATCTGCAAGAAAAAGCAACAGCTGCAGCCAAGATTTTTTTTTAGCCTAGCTTGGAATGCCCTTTGGCTGAAGATCAGCTTCTGACTTTGGCACAGACGGAATCTATTTGGAGAAGAAATTAACTGACATGAAGCTTTATTCTTGCCATCTTGTAGTCTCAGCTATCTGAAAATGCAGCAAGGAGCAAAGTTCATCTTCAAAACATCTTCACATTTCAACAATAAGGGGAAGTGGAAAGTTCCAAACCAACCTTCACCAGTCTTGGACTATGACAGCTGAGAATTAGGAGAAATAAAGATTGATATTGTTCAATGTTGCAGGTTGGAGGGTAACTGCAAATACCTGCCAAAAGTTGGGTTCCTGAGCTCTAAGGTGAATGCACATAGACAATTTATAAGAACTCTTCAATGCACCAATAATATAATGTGAGATAGCAACAGTCTAAAACAGAGGTCTCCAAACTTGGCCATGCTGGCTGGAGAATTCTGGGAATCAAAGTCCACAAGTCTTAAAGTTGCCAGATTTGGGGACCCCTGGTCTAAAAAGAAAGGAAAAAAGGCCTCATGTGTGCCTTGAATCTTATTCATTAAAATAGTTTCTATTTTTTCAGGCCTCTAAAGGAGACTTGTGGTTGCTGTAAGAGTCACAACAGAATCTTAAAACAGAATCCCCTTTCTGTATATTCAGACTGCCACATTCTATCCCATCCTCAACAAAAAGAAAGCAAGAAAGAAAAATATAGGTGGTTCTTGACTTAAAATGGTTTGTTTAGTGACCACTTGAAGTCCCGACAGCACTGAAAAAAGTGAGTTATGACCATTTTTCACACTTACAACCGTTGCAGCATCCCCATGGTCACCTGATGAAAATTCAGGTGCTTGGCAACTGACTTGTATTTATGACAGTTGCAGGGTCTTGAGGTCATGTGATCATCACCTTTTGTGACCTTCTGACAAGCAAAGTCAATGGGGAAATCAGATTCACTTAACAACCAGGTCACTAACTTAACAACTGCAGCAATTCAGTGAACAACTGTGGCAAGAAAGGTTGTAAAATGGGACAAAATTAATTTAACAAATGTCTCACTTAGCAAGAGAAATTTTGGGCTCAATTGTGGTTGCAAGTCAAGGACTACTTGTACAAGTCAGACAGTGGACCCCTCCTTGTCTGGTTTCTCAAAAGAAAGGAAGCCTAACACACGCTTTACTATTTATTTATTATGAAATTTATTTGCTGCCGATCTCGTTTCAAAGCGACTCTGTTAGCACTTTCTCCTCTGTTTGTTCCCTTTGGCTTCGTAGGTGGGGCTGCAAAGTCCATAACCTCACAGTTCTCTTGAGGACAGAACTTCCTCCAGCAGCGATGGCTGGTTCTTAATAAATAAAAGGCCTTTCAGAGCAGCTTGAACTACCCTGAAGCTGAGCTGCAAATGAATCAGTTCTGCTGGCTGGATAAACAACCCTCTGGAGTTGCTTTCAAAGGGGGACAGAATTCCTGACACTCAGAAGGCTGTTGGTGTCTGGGTTTCCGCAGCATTAATCCTGACTGACAAAACAAAACGGCTCTATTCATATCACATGCTACACCTAAAGACAAACTATTACAGCTTATTGTTTCTCTGGGTTTGGCATAGTGGTTTCAATAGTATGGTTTCATGCAGGAGTTGCAGCTTGTCAGGAGGGGATGGGGCACGTTTATTTTTTTTCCTAAAAATAACTTATTCAGTCAAGAGAGAACAACTCATTTTGCACAGTTGCCATAATGCCATATTGAAGCCGCCCAATGATGAAACACTTAAAATGTAATGATTTAAAATGTATTATTTCTCGGCCAGTCCAAACCCAAAGA